TTTGTGTAATCAGTACAACTAATCACCGTTAAATGCAAATCATATCTTTTACGGAAAGTTTTACTTTTGGTTCAGTGCTGAGGTGTGTAGCTTACGCCAGACTGAGGCTATGTTTGTGTTATCTAACATAGTAGTGTCGCTTAAATGGAGATAGGCAAATGTGCCGTTTGTCCACACGAAACGCTCAATAATTAGTATGAACATTGCCTGCAACATTTATCATCGTTTTTTATTTGTACCTTTTTAATTCTGAAAAAATAATACTGTATATCAACACATCCATAAAACATAATGTCTACATGCTTTTTAAAAAAATACAACAATCGTATTAAGCATATTATTTCTGTTCTAAATATTTACGTTACAAATATTCACGAATCTGTGCTGGAGATGGGGCGGAAAGGAAACTTAATGTAAGCTGCCGAGCAAAAGAAAGTATAAACTTGAAAATGGGAATTGATAAAAAAAATTACAAACGTTATCAAAACGTTTCTAGGCTGTCGCCGAAACATTGCAAATTTAAGGTCCAAAGCACCACTGTGATACCAGTATTAAAGACATTACCATCGAATAACCATTTCTTGTTTATTAATTTTTTAGCCATCAAACATGGGTGTATGCTTTCTTTTGCCAGGCACTTTATTTCTACTCTGTACTGGTGATCCCATTAATCGATTAAATCGATGTCTTGCCATCGATCTTGCTTCAACTGTTCAAAAGGGTTAATACTATGAACATGTCTCTTATTTACCAGACCAATTAATATCACCCTAGGTGACAACAGTGTTAATATGAAACGATCATTAGTCGGGGATATTTGGCTCAAACTGACGATCAATTAAAAGTGGTTGCCAATTCTATACGTCGTGGCCTGGATGTCATTGCTATTAGGAATAAGTCACCCGTTAAAACAACGTCAATACCTGGTGTGTCGTTATAGGGATGCATTGATCTTTCAGTGGTCCATTCGTGTAGTTTTAATCACTTTTTTGCCTTTAAGGCCCAATAGAATCTGTGTTGACAGATAATCGAGACTGATTACTCTCTGGTGTTGACGTTTTGAATTTGTTAGTACACAATGCTTGCCTCGATTAACATACATTTTTTTAATTCCAAAAGAATGATTTGCCACGTTGCTGTCAAGAGGGTTTTTTATCAATTATAGTAACAGCTATTTATCTCTCAATAGGGAGTTGGTTTGTCCACATTTGTCGGATTTTAGCTAAAGTGTGCTCGTTGCTTGGTCTTTTGGATGTGATGTACTGGTCTTACGCTTTTGTTTGTTGTTTAACGCCGAACTGAGCAACATTCCAGCTATATGACGGCGGTCTGTAAATAATCCAATCTGGACTAGACAATCAAGTGATTGATATCATGAGCATTGATCCACGCAATTGGATACGATGACATGCATCAACTAAGTCAGCGAGCCTGACCACCCGATCCCGTTAGTCGCCCCTTACGACAAGCATAGTCACCTTTTACGGCAAGCATGGGAAGACCTATTCTACCCCGGATCCTCACGGGTCCAATAAAAATGCCTTGATCTTAACAGTGACAATATGACGCTTGGTTTCAATGAGAATCTAATGTATTAGTCTTATTAACAATGATGATAGTATGCATTTGTCTATTCCCAAAATATATCATATTGATTTTGTCTCATTCACTGCACCATAACTATAGTCTGTTGTCGGAAACTTGCTGGTACGGCGTAAAAAAATACACGACTCACTATGTTATGCATTATTTACTATGGTATTGTAATGCTTTTGTCACAAGATCAAAAGCTCCGACACACGACGAGATGAACGGAAATTGTGAGAACGGGGCATAGACTAGTTTATATCCACACTGATGAAAACGATGTGTCTAAATTGAGCTAGGTATTCAAGTTCCTTTAGTCCATGTGAACACAAAAACCTCTATACTTGGATCGTCAGTAGGTAATACTATTCATTAATATATCTAGATGGCCCAGTCTCGGCATTGTGTCGAAAGCTTTGACGGAGATCGTCTCCTGCAGCAAGGAAAACGTGTTCATCAGATCAGCGTGATGGTTGTGATCGCTGACAATATCGTTGTGTCAAGAAAGATCAGTATTGGGCATTGGTTTACATCGCCATGTTAACTGGACTTCGTTGTGTCATGTGATCAATGCCCAATATTTGTTCATTGTGTTAAGCCACTTCTTGGTGTCCCTCGCCATTCCAGAGGTAACCATCCACCACTCATTCAAATCACTGCTTATACCAGAACGAGGCTAAAATTATCGTGCTATTGTTTCAGCGTAAAGTTTGTTTCTAAAGACACGTTCTAACTGGAAGTGATAACAGTCTTGTCGTGTGCAGAACAGGACTTAAATTATGACGGAAAATACTCGATTCTCATTTTGTTAACCAAAAGATTCAAGTCACAAAAAGCCTTTGATTGAAACAGTTGATTTGACGGTCGCATCGCCTCGAAAACTAATAATGCCAGTTCAGTTCAAAATGCAATTAAGCGCATTCAAATCTGCAGGATATTATGTATAGTTCTGCACTGAAAACATTATATTTATTTCATAACTCAAATTAAATCGTCACTACATATGGGCACTCGGGTATATTCTTTGTCATAGTACGACGTTTTTTTTAAAAAAATTAGACATAAACAACTTGAGGTTTGTGAGGTCAAAGGGTCACCCATGTCTGCGCATACATGCTGTCCATCCATCCTCTTCCTGCACTACTTTCACCTCAGCCCGTGCACAACCCAGGTGAGTGATTCCTCCGCTGCCCGAGCCTGACAGAGAGAGCTTCTCACCTCAGCCACTGACACCTGTCTCATCGTCTCGCGTCGCTCTAAGTGACTAATTAGGTGACTAATTACACTAATTTAGATTGATCTCGGTCTCTTCCCGCCTGCTGGCGAGATCAGTGGCTGAAGACAGCAGGTAAAGGTCAAAGCTGATTGTCTTCATAATTCGGACGAGATGTGCCACATGCATCTCCGAGCTACTCATAGTCTGCGTCCCATATTGCCGTTGGATTCACTCACAGCTCAGTCTTTGACTGGTGCCAAGGCCAATTCCACAATTGAGGAAGCCGACCTTTTACCATTTTCAGCTTTGCATAATTAACTGTATTGGTAGATGTCAAAGTGAAGCGACTTCGCAAGATAATGAAGACAGTATTTTAGGGAAAAAGTTGATCTTAGACAGAAGCGTTAATAGTTTTTGCCGGTACTGAAAGAACACCGTGTCCTTTATAATATAGGGCGCTTTGTTGGCCAGTATGAAAAACATGTCAGGTCGAACAAAGCCACCGTGTCTTGGACAAAACAGACAAAAAAAGCCTCTGATGCTGAGGCTTAAATGATTATTTTCGATACATCACACGATGATACATCAACTAATGAAAGTATTTAACACCATATAGGAGATGTCAAGTGATGTGTCCAATACAGCAAGATGGTTCTCGGTGACCCAGATGAGGTGTCAGGCAATTCCTTGACAGTTTGTGGTGATAGTCAGAATGACAAAAAACGCAATACCATGGCAAACATGAAACAGATGCGTTCACACCTGCTGTAAACTAACGACCCCTTTACTGTCTCAATATGGCTGTCGTGGAAGCCATGTTGACACTGATATTAATGGTGAGAGGAGTTTGACGGATCTCCTCTATTTTATGCTTCCCAACTGTTCAGTTTAACTGTGGAAATGTTAACTGGGACCGGTTGATCAGACTTTGAGACGAAGGTGTGTCACTCCATGCCTTAAACTGCATGAATGACACGCCGTTGGTATTCTGCGTGTAGTGAGTCAGCTGGGTTTAACTGGCCCGGGACTACTATTATATAGAGGGCACGGGTGGCCCGCCGTCTAAAGCGCTGCAATTCGCTGTGCTGAGTTGCGTCCCTTGGGCACGCCAGAAACCTATGATTGTGGGTTCGAACTCCAGTTCGCCCCGATTATGTTTCTAGGTTTGTCAGCACCATACCCGTTCTCGTGGGTTTCACCAAAGTGGTAAACGTTTGAGGCCTGTATCAATTCGAGCCTCCATCCCACATTAAGCTGACACGTTTTGATTTAAAACCTGGAATACTGTTCAAAGCGGTGTTAAACCAAACTCACTCACTCACTATTATATAACGTGTATCATGTAGAAGAAAATCCCAATATCGGCAAGTCGTATATCAGTGGTATGCCGTTGTCAGAGCAAGTTTTTTTTAATCGGGTCGAATATGGGATTCGAGCGCACGACAAGCATGTCATTTACGGCAAAGGGACACAACTCTGCGCAGCAAGTTACGGCGACATAGACCTCTGAGCCAGCCATGCAGCAGTTAGGCCAGCAGTCAGATTGAAGCAGGTCAGGCCTACAGGGACCTACTGTGAGAGACGTCTATTTTCGGTATAGGTTATTTGGTTCAAACATTATTGAATCAGCTCATGTCACCAAGGTTACACGGACTGATCAAGTGAGGGTTTTGGACATTTTCAGTCGAGACAAATTATTTCTCATTTGTCAACACAAGTGATTCTATTTACCGACCAAACCTCACACCTTTCCCCAAGACTGAAACACACAATTGTCCATCTGTGCGATTCTGCTTGAGGCACCCTGATACAAACATGAATGAGATGACTGTGGATCTACCCTGATCCAGTGGACCGGGTCACCAAGTGTAAAGTCTGTAACATTCTGCACCTCCAGAGTTGATGACAAGACCGTGTTCCACGACAATGGACGATAACACGGCTTTCAGCACTAATACGAAATGTTCCCGAAGGGATTTCGTGTTAGAATAGGTCCAAAATAATCTATGCTGGTCGCAAGAGACGACCGAATGGATCGGGTGGTCAGACTGGGTTGATTGTGATCGTACCCAGACAGCTTGTGTCTTGCTTACAATATCCATCACTGGATAATGTGGTAAAGAGGCGATAATTAACAGAATTCAGTCATCCGGATACCGTACTGCGGCGTAAAACAACATACAACATGTATCCTCACCCAGCAGTTGAACTCGTTCCGGCCATCCATACTCCTGGTGATGAGGAGCTGCTGCTGAGTTGTCTCCTCTTCCCGGATGTAGGCCAGGCACTGGAACTCTGAAAGGCAGTCACGAGGCTCTACACCGATAATTAGCAGGCAAAACACGCACTTTGACAAAGACACGGGTGCGGGTGATGGGTAGGGTAGGGGGATAGGGACAAGAGACATAAGGGTAGGACGTTGGTGTGAATCAAGATGGTGCGGGCGAGAAAGAGGGCTGAAGGAAGTGAGTGGTGAGAGAACAGGACTGCGGGTAGAATGGGTGATAGAAGAGGCCCTAGGGAAGAAGGGGTGATAGAAGAGGACATAGGGTAGAAGGGTGATAGAAGAGGGCCTAGGGAAAAGGCAGTGAGAGATGAGGACATAGGGAAGAAGGGTGATAGAAGAGGCCCTAGGGAAGAAGGGGTGATAGAAGAGGACATAGGGAAGAAGGGTGATAGAAGAGGACATAGGAAAGAAGGGTGATAGAAGAGGACCGCGGGAAGAAGGGGTGATAGAAGAGGACATAGGGAAGAAGGGTGATAGAAGAGGACATAGGGAAGAAGGGTGATAGAAGAGGACATAGGGAAGAAGGGTGATAGAAGAGGCCCTAGGGAAGAAGGGGTGATAGAAGAGGACATAGGGAAGAAGGGTGATAGAAGAGGACATAGGGAAGAAGGGTGATAGAAGAGGACATAGGGAAGAAGGGTGATAGAAGAGGACATAGGGAAGAAGGGTGATAGAAGAGGCCCTAGGGAAGAAGGGGTGATAGAAGAGGACATAGGGAAGAAGGGTGATAGAAGAGGACATAGGGAAGAAGGGTGATAGAAGAGGCCCTAGGGAAGAAGGGGTGATAGAAGAGGACATAGGGAAGAAGGGTGATAGAAGAGGACATAGGGAAGAAGGGTGATAGAAGAGGACATAGGGAAGAAGGGTGATAGAAGAGGACCGCGGGAAGAAGGGGTGATAGAAGAGGACATAGGGAAGAAGGGTGATAGAAGAGGGCCTGGGGAAAAGGCAGTGAGAGATGAGGACATAGGGAAGAAGGGGTGATAAAAGAGGGCCTGGGGAAAAGGCAGTGAGAGATGAGGACATAGGGAAGAAGGGTGATAGAAGAGGGCCTGGGGAAAAGGTAGTGAGAGATGAGGACATAGGGAAGAAGGGGTGATAAAAGAGGACATAGGGAAGAAGGGTGATAGAAGAGGGCCTGGGGAAAAGGCAGTGAGAGATGAGGACATAGGGAAGAAGGGTGATAGAAGAGGGCCTGGGGAAAAGGCAGTGAGAGATGAGGACATAGGGAAGAAGGGGTGATAAAAGAGGACATAGGGAAGAAGGGTGATAGAAGAGGGCCTGGGGAAAAGGCAGTGAGAGATGAGGACATAGGGAAGAAGGGGTGATAAAAGAGGACATAGGGAAGAAGGGTGATAGAAGAGGACCGGGGGAAGAAGGGGTAAGAGAAGAGGACCTGGGGAAGAAGGGGTGAGAGAAGAGGACATGGGGAAGAATGGGTGAGAGAAGAGGACACAGGCAAGAAGGTGATAGAAGAGGACACAGGCAAGAAGGGCTGAGAGAAGAGGACACAGGCAGGAAGGGGTTAGAGAAGAGGACACAGGCAAGAAGGGCTGAGAGAAGAGGACACAGGGAAGAAGGGGTGGGAGAAGAGGACACAGGGAAGAAGGGGTGGGAGAAGAGGACACAGGCAAGAAAGGGTTAGAGAAGAGGACACAGGCAAGAAGGGGTTAGGGAAGAGGACATAGGAAAGAAGGGGTGGGAGAAGAGGACACAGGCAAGAAGGGGTTAGAGAAGAGGACACAGGCAAGAAGGGGTTAGAGAAGAGGACACAGGCAAGAAGGGGTGGGAGAAGAGGACACAGGCAAGAAGGGGTGGGAGAACTGAGGGGACTAGGGGTTAGAGAGATAGATGAGGGAAGTAGGGGTAAGGGGAAGTAGGTTGAGGGAAATAGGGGTTGGCGGAGAGGAAATATGAGTTATGCGATGTAGCGGTGATGGAGCGAGGGATGGGGAAGGATGTTTGATAAAAGGAGGTCTTGATGTGCAGGATAATGAGTTTACAATGAGTTCGTTTCAGGTTAATAACTATTTCCTGCCTTATTCAACACAGGCTGTATAACAAATCTGTCTCACATCTTCATACTGATGTGTGCGAGAAGTAGGCTTACAAATGGAAAATATTTCAAAAGCTTCAGCAACTTCACGCGACTCCTTAAACTGGTTTTGCGATTGAATGCATACAGCGAAAAATACGACTGTCACGATGACAACAAAAACATGTTACATGGCTTACTGGGGCAGGTGCAAGGAAATCATTTTAGTAAACGGCTAGAAAACGGCATAAGAAATAAAATTCCTTTATGTTTTAACAAAATCAATTCAAGATGCAGGATCACGAAATTTTCATGCCAAAGACACATCAAAGGAATGATATTGTAAATAGATAAGAAACAGCAATCCTAAAACATCAAAAATATTTGAAAACTTAAAACACGAAAAAGAAGTTTAAGGGGGATATCATACAAATTTCTGATTTGGTTTTTTCATGGAATGAGGGTCAATAACGTTTAGTTATTTGTAGGCATATTATGCCAATAGAAACTTAGACGTGCCACAGATCTTATTCATGTGAGGAACCGAACCCAGGTTATACCACTAACTGGGTGCACTAACAATGGGACCACCTGTGTGACACACGTAGCGTGTTGCTATATATGACGCATGCGCACTGAAGTGAGATGAAGTAGAGACGCCACAGACACTACACAACAGACGCATACACACGCAGTTGACATATACAATGTATATACATTAAAAATACAGACTGTAGCAATTCACTTCAATTATTCACGAGTTGTGGAGTATATGTGTAGGTACCAGAACATGCTCTTGTTGCAGTTGTAGTGTGTATAGTTCATATCTCAACAATATTTTCTGAAATGTTCACGTAAAAAAGTAACTTCTGATTTCAGAAACATACTCATACTGCAGTGGTCTTCACGTTCCAAGAGTGAGCGAGTGAGTTAGTGAGTATGGTTTTACGCTATTTTTTTAACAATATTCCTGCAATATCACGGCGGGGACACCAGAAATGGGCTTCACGCATTTTACCGATGTGAGGAATCGAACCCGGGTTTTAGGCGTGACAAGCGAACGCCTTAACCACCAGGCTACCTCACCGCCCCTCAGTTCTAAGACATATAGGGGAACGAATGACCACGTCGTCATGGGCGTCCCAATTTGTTTCGCACAGTTCCGCCAGAAATAACTGATGCTGCGTTCGAATCCAAACATTGCCCTGATTATGCTCTAGGTTGGTCAGCACCAGAACCGTTCTCGTTGGTTTCAACAAGTAGAGAGGCCTAAGACCTGCCTCAGGGATGACAGGCCTTCGAAAGGCATTTAGATGTGATACACTTAAGGAAGAGCATTTACTGATGTCAACTTTATTATGAGGAACACGACGTTTCGGAGTATATGCTTACTCTTTCACCTGATGAAGGAACAATCATACACGTTGTGTTCCTCATAATAACGAAGTTGATATCTGTAAATTCTCTTCTTCAAACTGACACGCCGTGATATAACTGAAATACTGTTCAAAGCGTTGTTAAACTCACTCACCCGTAGAAATATCCTTATTTCCCGTATTTTGAATTGTCTTACCCATGGGAGCCAGGAGGGAACTACAGGTGTGAGACCTCAGCAGGATTGTCCCCTTGGTGGTACAACTTTCCTCGTCCCAGTCCGACACCGTGCCCTCACAGTGCTCCCCGTTGAAGGAGCCGTTGAAGGGGATGGTGCTGTCCAGGCCGCAGTAGGATGGCCATAGTTTCCTGGACACTGAGGGGGGATAGGATACTGAGAACTACATATGGCCATTGGGTCCAGATACATCACAACATAACGGTAAAAAAGGGGAACAAGAGCCGTGTCTTGAAAATGGGGTAATATGAGAATTTCAACATACAGAAATACATAAGGCTGTTGTCGCCGTGTAGGGAAAATACCACACGCCAGCAAAACGGTCGTTTGCACCGTGTATAAAACAGTATGCATCAGATCTTGATAAAAGGAGACCTTTGTTTTCGACACTACACAGGGCACTAACGGGATCGGGTGGTCTGGCTCTCTGACTTTGTTGATGCATGTCATCGTATCCCAATTGCGTGGATCGATGCTCATGACATCAATCACTGGATTGACTGGTCCAGACTAGATTACTTACAGACCGCCGTAACATAGCTTGAATATTGCTGAGATATTGCGGCGATTAACAATTAAGAAACTAAAGGACTTTCAGCAAACATTACTACATTAGGCCATTGGCACTGTGCGCATAACATTATTGCATCAAATCTCAACAAGAGGAGATCCTTGTCTTAGACACTAACTAGGTCAGTAAGAGATCATTAGAAAATACCGTATGTCACCGTAGAGTAATTAACACAACTGCGTCAACCCTTGAGAGACAAGACGCTTTGTCTCCGATACCTCAGGGATCCAAATGAGACGTTCAGCACATCATTGGTTGAATAGATATTAATAAACACATTCTTAAACATCATATATCAGAACTGAATCCTGTCAGAAGTTTTTACAACGAGAATACAAAAGAGAACTCGTTAAAAATGAAAACATAAGATCACCGCCTCCGTTATGTCTGTCAAACAAATGCAATAAGACTGATGAAAAATGCGTTTGACTGGTTACAAGGTTGTCTGCAAAAGACAGTTTCTCCAGAACCTTGAAATCAGAAATCTTACTTAATAATGTGCATGATTGACATGTGATAAATATGGTTATAAGTGAGTGAGACAGCGTTTCTTAACGCACGAGCTGTCTTGCAGCTATTCGTGGCGATATAAGGTTATGAGAAACGCAAAATGTTGCCAGGTTAGAACACCATATGGAACATGGACGAGTTCAATGACGTTGCACTGCAGCGTACGATCCATGACCTAACGAGTTTCCTTTCACTTACAGACAAGGTTCTTGTAGAAGAAGCTCCGGTAACTGTCGCCCAATGGGAAGGGGTCATCGTGGAAGGAACACAGGTCTTCAAGGTCGGCATCAGTGCGCATGCTCTTACCTACCGGAACAAGAATATGTATAAGAAGGAGGATTTCAGTTATTGTTATTTTCCTGTGACGGAGTGGACGTATATTAATGTTTTTTTCATAGCTCTACATCGTTCAATAGTGTGTCATCTGCTTGTAGAATAACATATGCAGTCCAGTGCGATTTAAAAGGTGAGTGAGTTAAAGCTTAACGTCACATCGGCAATATTTCAGCCATATTGTGACGAGAGCGATTTAAAAGGATGACAGCAACGATGACAAAGTAACAAAGAACACATTATAATTTCTATTTTGCGGGCATGTTCCTATTGCAATCTGAGCTATGCTACTCGACACAAGTTAAGAACCACCCGAATATTCCACATTACTATTTATTTATCAATCTGTCATGACTTATCATGGCATGACAGATTAGCTATAGTAATAGGATGGAAGCGGATTGTCCTTAACGTGATTTGAGTTGTATATTTGAATGCTTTAAGCGCTGTTGGGATTTCGGATTAGAATAGGTCTCCATCCTCCTCTGCTGGTCGAAAGAGGTGACTTGATGGATTAAAGGTTCAGGATTCGTGAAGATCCGGGATGGAACAGATCTTCAGCAACTCATGCTTACCGTAAAAAGTCGACATTGCTGGTCGTAAGGGGCGATTAACAGGATCGGGTGGTCAGTCTCGCTGACTTGGTTAATACATGTCATCGTATCCCAATTGCGTGGATCGATGCTCATGATATCAATTACTGGACTGTCTGGTCCAAACTCGATTACATACAGACCTTCGCCATATAGCTGGAATATTGGTAAAGTGCGGTGATAAACAACAAACAAACAAACAGAGGTTTGTAGATTCAACTATTTCCCCCTTGATATTTCTTCGAGTCCTTTGTGTGTAATGCTCATTAAATGTGCGTTTGGATGGGAAATGCACCCTGAGTGATTTTACGTCACTTTTTGTAAACCAAATAAGGGCGGGTAACGGTAATTCCATCACTCATTTAATCAAGGGGAGGAAGATGAAGGTGAAGGTGAAGGTGAAGGTGAAATTGGGTTTAACGTTGCGTCCAAGATTATTGCACTTATATAGCGACGTGCATGCACGTGTGTGTGTGGCTGCTTGTACTAGTCCGGACTGATGACGATTTATAGTGCTAGCTCACTGAGATACCATGCCGCAGTTTAACATGAATACCCCACTCAGACACAGTATACTGACTCCGAGCCGACCAGTCCTTGTTTTAGCCCCTTAATGCCGAGCGCCAGACAGGGTAACAACAAGTACCATCTTTTAACGTCTTTTGGTGGAAGGAAGATGAATTTAGACAGTAAATATATGTTTATAAATATGTACATTTTTTACTTTTAACATGGTCAATGTTATGACAATATGTGTAAATTTGTATTTTTTACTATCTTGTTCACTTTTCTTCACAAAGAGATATAGATATCTTGTGATGATTATGAGTCAGAGTGTTAGGTGTACATAGGCTTTGTAACGTTGTTAATGTTATTTCACTGACAGAATTATGAACGTTATAGCATGTACGCGATGAAGAAGGGAGGTTAGTTAAGTTGTCCAGTGTAAAGCAAGATTTGTTTATTATATTTACCTGTCAATTACATTTGTAGTATTGTGCAAACAAACATAACATGTTACTGGAAATCAATGTGATATTTTTCGCCTGCATTGTCCATGTCATTTTGTATTTACTGATTTTTAGCTAATTGTATTTCGCAACTTTTAACATGGAGCCCAAAATTACCAAGATACAAGCCTTAATTCATTAAAGAGAAGTAAAACTTACTTCAAGGTTAATAAACATGTTATTGAGTTAATAATTTGTGAGAGGATTAGTAGAATTCACTACTTAAATCGGTAGTTCTTTGGAGGATAGATAGTTATCTCTACTAACTGAGTACATCTTCCCGAGTAAAGGGCGTTAATTTACTATAAAAGTCCAGTTTCCACCCTTGCCGAACTAAGCTGGAATTTCCAGGGTCGAACGCAGCGCCATCAGTGGCTATTACGAGTTGTGTCCCTTCTATGTCTCTCCTATTGACCAACAAGATTCCATCTCTCATATCACTTGCATTTGCTTCGAACAAAACGGCGGCGCCCAGTCAAGACGATCTCTTCGATACTCAAGACCTTTATTGTATTAGAACGGGTCGTACCCCACGATTTCATTAAATCACTTGAGTACCTTGACTAAAAACATGAAACGATTTGCAAAATATCTGTCGATGCCCAGTTGGCGGTACACCAGCTATGCAAATCCTTCAGTCGACCGAAATCTGCACGTTGAAATCCATGTTGTTTACGAAGCGGATGTCTAGTTCGTTGAGCGGTTTTGATTGGACTATGCACTGACTCGTTTGTCCAGCCAAAATGTAACTCCGGATTTCCAGCCTCGTTCGGCAAGGGCGGGATCTGTACTTTGATAGTCAGTTAACTCCCTTGCCTCGGGAAGATGACTGAGTAGAAAGTTTTACTAATCTGCCATAGGCCACTTACTAATCTAATTAGTAAAAAATACAAACTGTTTAGTAAAGTCTTCTGACATCTTAGCGTCTGAGTGACAGTGAAATTCACTAAGTTAGTAAACTCTACTATTTCAGTCAGTGTTACGACAACCTTACAGGACTGGGCTGCAGACACCGTTCCTTTAAGCGATCACATACGATCACATACGATCACATATTTATATCTTTAGAAGGGATGGGGGATAGTGATAGCTCTCAAATTTTGATATAGACTTACGACAATCGTAGCACTAAGACGATCATAACTCCCATACTTTAACATAGACTTACGACAGTCGTAGCACTAAGACAATCCTTATTCCCATACTTTAACATAGACTTACGACAGTCGTAGCACTCAGACGATCATAACTCCCATACTTTCACATTGACTTACAACAGTCATAGCACTAAGACAATCCTTATTCCCATACTTTAACATACACTTACTACATTCGTAGCACTAAGACAATCCTTATTCCCATACTTTAACATACTCTTACGACAGTCGTAGCACTCAGACGATCATAACTCCCATACTTTCACATTGACTTACAACAGTCATAGCACTAAGACAATCCTTATTCCCATACTTTAACATAGACTTACTACATTCGTAGCACTAAGACAATCCTTATTCCCATACTTTAACATAGACTTACTACAGTCGTAGCACTAAGACAATCCTTATTCCCATACTTTAACATAGACTTACTACAGTCGTAGCACTAAGACAATCCTTATTCCCATACTTTAACATAGACTTACTACAGTCGTAGCACTAAGACAATCCTTATTCCCATACTTTAACATAGACTTACTACAGTCGTAGCACTAAGACAATCCTTATTCCCATACTTTAACATACACTTACGGCAGCCGAAGTATTCGCTTCAAAGAAGGGGCGCCAGGTGGCTGTGTTGGATAACAACGGCCAAGTGCATGCTGCGTAAGCTTCATCATAATGACTTAATATTAGTCTTAATTATGTGCAGTAACCTTTCAGGTCACCGCCATGTTTCCGCCGCCAAGTAATGCTTCCAATATCCTGCCACCCCAGTACGTACAAACAGACATTTAGTTGATGTGTTATGATGGGCGTTGGTGACATCACAACTACTGCAGCAAAAAGAAATCAATGATTCGTCCTGATCTGACCCCACGCATTACCGGTCCGCGGCTTCTTGTGCTGGTGTAGGGACAGTTAATGTACCCCCCAACCCTTCCCTCGACCCCCAGATAGCCAGACAACGCTTAGAGCATTTAGCCACCACTTATGTAAAACCTCAACCCATTTACTGTCTTGAATGTCATTCCAGATGCACCAACTACCACGTATGACGTAAATGCGAAAATAACAAACGCGTACCAAATATTGTTTCTTAATCCATAGATGCGCACCTTGCACAGGAGAAACACTTACTGTTGGGCGTTTAAAGGGCTGGGGATCAGATGCAAAGCAATTCGAAGATAGCACACCGCGGGCCTGGTTACAAAAAGATCAATCCTGTAGATCATGCGGGTTCAAGTATTCCCAAGTAAAGATAACATCCTTAGAAGACGAATGCTTTGATTTACTCGTGATGATCCCTTTTCAGCTGTTGAGGGATCGTGGGGAAGCTCTTGTGTGCTTTACATGGGTCTTATGCTGGTAATGTATGAATAATACATGGTATACACCCATCGTTGTCAGTCTAGTCTGTACAACGATATCCTAACGCATTGTCAGGCCAAATATGATAGCCTTGCCTTGGTTGAACGTGCGGGAGCATGGAACATCCATTACAGTACAAGGCGGAAGGTGTTTAGTGAGCCCCAGGGGAGATAACTTTGCAATTACAATGGCGCCACTCGATTGAAGACACGAAATTTGTCAAATATAATATTTAGCCCAACCGGTGTGTTTAATAAAGAAAGTATGAGCGAAAGAAAAGTGACAGATCATTTTGTTCGTTTTTTTATTAACGTTGGTGGTGATGGTCGTTATTGATGAATGAAGATCAAGAGTTATGACCCAATTAGCCTGCGGTCAGCAGAGTGGGCACTTGGGAGAAACACTGGCAATTTTTCAAACCTGAATGAAGTCGTTTTTCCTCGGAGTTATTTACCCCAATAGCAGTGGCTGTTTAAACGAGACAAGCAAGCAATTCATTTTGGTCTCAATAAAAATGTCACCTCTGAATGAGAGTATAATAGATGGAGCTATTTTAGTAGTTCAGTTTTTTATTTCGCTTACTTCTATTTCGAAGTAAAAACAGGAAAGATATTCGATCTTACATTAACACCAATTTTTTTTTTTTAAACTACGAAAATGATGAATTGCCGCTTGTCCATGTTGCAGGAAGTAATCACTGGAGAGGTATAATGTTGGATGCACTACTACCATACTTTACTACCAAGGCATGCTGGTACTGTGGGTATCAAACTTAAGAACAATCACGACCTGAAATAAAACTCACGGATCTACATATTTCGACCAGGTAAAAAAACCAGCAAGGTTGGAAAGTGTGTTCGTGGGCGTACTGGTGAATACAGACAGGGCGTGAACTCCACGTGCACCGCACCGCACTCCCCTACAGGGAAAATGGATTCTTCCGTTGCACGTGGAATACATGCTGTCCCCAAATGTGGCGTTCCTACCGATTGGTCTTAGTTTTGATTTGCAGTATATTTAATGTTTCTCCGTATACATCATCATATAATTGTATGAATTAAGTGAGAGAAGGTAGGTATTCACCGTGTCAGTAATTACATCTATTACATATTTCGTATTTGGTACTTCGTTATAGGTTGGACTAGCCTCGCTTTCAATTCAATTTGGATACCAACTTTGTTTGTCTGTTCACTCAAAATTTAGTTAGTATTACTATTAAATCGATCATGAGACATGTTAGACGTTTAAAAGTATAATTTGTTTGAGGGTAGAATATAATGTATTGAACGATGTGAAAAACAAAATTGTGTTTTGGAGAGGTGACAGAAACAAAATTCGATTTCATGTATGGAATGAACCCGGTGATCTACATACCTATGCTTCCTCGTCACAAGATCTTAGACCATTTAATTATAAATATTTATAGGAAAAATATGTTTAAAGATTCACACAGACTCTAAACATTCTTACATCTCTTATATAGACTCCAGGGAATTAATTACAACACTTAATACCAAGATACAATAGTTAGAAGATAACATCGATATCAATGCCAAATGAGATAATCGATTTCACTGAACACCATCACTACATGTTCATATGATATGAACCAGACCAAGGTGATGTAGATACTGCTTTCCTTTCAGCTGCTAATACACCACTGCCATTGATATGCGGCCGTCACTTGGTGCTCCTTGTGGGAAAGTAAGCCTTTTTCATGTGTCCCTTGATGGAGGTTTAATTTCTGTGTGTTGTGTATATATAGAGACAGAGGAAAGGACTAATTGTCTAGCTGAGGAGAAGACAGCCACTCTGGAGACAGTGAAGTCAAGTTACACGATTAGCCATGTGATGCTTCAGACCACGATAGGTAAAGGAAAATGCTTATACTTACTTATCCGGTATTGCAGAACGTTGTTGTTCCGGCGGTGAAACTCAATGCACGTATATCGAGGAGAGCTGTGGGAAGAAGAGGCTGGTTATGTATGCTATATATGTAGTCATAAAACAAATCTCCTACTTTAGACACTGGCATACAAAGTACATTCTACTTTTGCGTGGGGGCACGGGTGGCCCAGTCGTCTAACACCCCGCAATTCATTGTGCAGAGCTGCGTCCCTTAGGCGCGCCTGGAACTTGATCTAGGGTTCGAAACCCAGATTAGTCCATTGTAGCACTTCGCCCCACCTCTATACCCCGTTAATCCGTTATACCACTTCGCCCCCGTTAGTCCATTATACCACTTCGCCCCCCACCTCTGCCCCGTTAATCCATTATACCACTTCGCCCAACCTCTACCCCGTTAGTCCGTTATACCACTTCGCCCCACCTCTACCCCGTTATACCACTTCGCCCCACCTCTACCCCGTTACCCCGTAATACCACTTCGCCCCCGTTAGTCCATTATACTACTTCGCCCCACCGCTACCCCGTTATACTACTTGACCCCACTTTTCCCCGTTTCTCCGTTATACCACTTCGCCCCCGTTAGTACATTATACCACTTTGTCCCACCTCTACACCGTTATACCACTTCGCCCCACCTCTACCCCGTAGTTCACTGTGCCACCTTGCCCCAACCCTGTGCAGCCTGTTAGTCCACAAAACCCTCACGTACACTATTCTTAGTCCACTATACCTCCTCGCCCCATCTCTACCGTGTTTGTCTTCTATACCACCTCGCCCCACCTCTACCGTGTTAGTCTTCTATACCACCTCGCCCCACCTCTACCGTGTTTGTCTTCTATACCACCTCGCCCCATCTCTACCGTGTTAGTCTTCTATACCACCTCGCCTCACGCCTGCCGTGTTAGTCCACTATACCACCTCGCCCCCACCTCTACCGTGTTAGTCTTCTATACCACCTCGCCTCACGCCTGCCGTGTTAGTCCACTATACCACCTCGCCACCACCTCTACCGTGTTAGTCTTCTATACCACCTCGCCCCACCTCTACCGTGTTAGTCTTCTATACCACCTCGCCCCACCTCTACCGTGTTAGTCTTCTATACCACCTCGCCTCACGCCTGCCGTGTTAGTCCACTATACCACCTCGCCACCACCTCGAGCAGCTGTTTAGCCAAAGGCACTAATGTGTTCATCTATCTCAATGCTATGCTAGATAAGCATGGCGATATCAGACAATTTCCGAACACCAACCCAATCCATGAAACATGGTGTACTGAGTCGTAATACGCCAAATCTGTCTAATATTCCTGTTATGTCGTAAATGGACCCCTAACGGGCAATATAGACATCGCTAAATACCCCAAAGTAAATTAAGCCAATACGTCGTTGGCGAGTGGAACTTATTGGTCTGATCATCTTATCTCGGAGTCAGCCATTTTAATCTGCCATCACTGATTAGCGAATCTAATGTATATACAATTTCACAATAACATGCAAACAAATAAACCAATGATAATAGAAACATGGCCATTATTCTCTGCCATAACATCGTAATGCCCTGGTTGTCAAGCTCATGCTCCTTGTTCTTCAGATCGCCTGTTGTTATGGCTTTCTAACACACAGGGAAAAGGAGTTGCCTACCAAAGGGGGGTCAATTTCTTTATTATGATATTTTGTAACCTATGTTGAAATGTCTGGTCAGCGATCCGTATGGCCCCTAATAAAGCTAACAGGGGATTTTCCTTTAAAAAACCTGCAGATCACTTGTATATATTTTATAATTTCATTTCCCGCATCGTATGTTCAGTGATTTTGTCATCCGTTCACGAGCACTTTATCTTAATGATATGTTGTAGGAAATTAGTGTTTTGTTCACTGGCAATGCTCACGAAGCTGTTTCCATTTTAGTTTTGTAATATTTTGTTTCTAAACGCGAATTTATAACGATCCTCCCGACCTTCATTACATTAAAAAACTCATCCCCGAGAAACAAATAATATGAAGCCTAATGTTTAATCTACGACCTCCGCCTTTGATATTCATCTGTTGATATTCTGGTTCGGCAACGATTAGTGACCATTTTTGTCGTACAGTTAAACGAAGGTCTGAAGAATACTCCTATTCGAATACTGGAGGAGTCATATTTGCCGCAACATCTTCTGTCAGTCAGTACTAGTTCCTACATCAACATCCAAAAACGTTATTGTTTATTGATTTATTTATTACGACATGTTTCAATCACCAGAATGTTCAAAAGCATTGCATGGTGAATCAGAATGACTGATAGTTTTCAAACGCTTGGTTGCGATCATGCTATCAATCACTGGTCTGTATACAAACCGATTACAAAGACAAGTTACGCTCTCTCAACTGTTTTATGAGATCTAAACACAATTCACCCTGCTTGATCTTAGGAGGACGAATTGTTTACCACAGTCGTTTGTTCGATTCCAAAATTCGCCCCGATGATAATCCTTGGTTTGTCTGTACCAAACACATCATAGTGAGTTTCGTCAAAATATACTTGCATCACTTCCCCCGCTCGATGCCCATTAAGGTTACATGATATGATATAACTGAAACAATGTTCTATTACATGTATATATTTATATACCACTCAATGACGTTAAGTACCACCTTCAGCCATGGCATGACAGATTGACTATGGCTCTATGAAGGAATCGGGTGGTGCTTCCTGTTTTTGAGCAGTCTATGATATTGACCTACCAGCCATTGGTGAACTCGGACACCGTCTTGTATTGGTTCTCGTTAGATCCCGTCTCCCGGCACGAGAACCTGCCAAACTTGGAGAATGATGCCTTGTTGTGGTTGATGGTGATTTCCTCGTTCCTGTCCCTGTCGTACAGCATCCAGTCTCCGTGCAGCTTGGGGTCGAACCGACACTTCTGACGTGGTTGGCCCTCTGGGGAGGAGAGTGTATAATTCATACTTTAGAATACACTGGTATTGTGCAGAATATTTATTAACACAGTGGTACGAAACTCCGTGTCCATATACTCCATGTCATAATGATATAAATTCACATGTCTAGCTTTCCTCCCACTCCAGGGGCGATCGGGTAGTCTAGTGGTTAAAGCGTTCGCTCGTCACGCCGAAGACCCGGGTTCGATTCCCGACATGGGTACAATGTGTGAAGCCCATTTCTGGTGTCCCCCGCCGTGATATTGCTGGAATGTTGCTAAAAGCGGCGTAAAACCATACTCACTCACTCACTCACTCACTCCTCCCACTCCAAACTGACACGCCCTGATATGACGGACATACTGTTTGAAGCGGAGTTAAAACAAACTCACTGATCCACGACAACGTGATACCAAAGGTCATGTCAATAAACCCCATGGCAACGTGCTACTAAATGTCATGTCTAATAACTCCATGACAACTAATTGTCATGTCTATAAACTGCATGATATATTTTGTTTGTTTGTTGTTTAACGCCGCACTCAGCAATATTCCAGCTATATGACGGCGGTCTGTAAATAATTGAGTCTGGACCAGACAATCAAGTGATTGACATCATGAGCATCGATCCACGCAATTGGGATACGATGAAATGCATCAACCAAGTCAGCGAGCCTGACCACCCGATCCCGTTAGTCTCCTCTTGCGACAAGCATAGTCGCCTTTTACGGCAAGCATGGGCATGATATGTAACTTCTGTTCAATGTTGTTCTTCAATATTAAGAAATACGGCATGCCATGGGCTGAACGACTACTGTCATAAATAGGAAGAAAGATAACAAAGTGAAGACATACAATTCGTCGGATTGATTTAACAGAGGATGAAGATGAATTTCTGATGTAGGATTGGGAGACGGGGAGCGGAGAAAGAAACAGAAAGTGAGTAAGATGAGTGAGTGAGTGAGTATGGTTTTACGCCGCTTTTAGCAATATTCCAGCAATATCACGGCGGGGGACACAAGAAATGGGCTTCACACATTGTACCCATGTCGGGATTCGAACCCGTGTCTTCGGCGTGACGAGCGAACACTTTAACCACTAGGCTACCCGACCGCCCCGTGAGTAAGATGGAGAGAGATACGGGTATATTTTGACGGTAATAAACCATTAGAGCTTCCCGGTTACTGTAGCCTTGACACAGTGCATGTTATTATCGAGTTATGATTTCCCGAGATCCCCTACGATGTCAGGTAAAATAGTATTACATTAGCTCATGTCAAGACATATATTTAAACATTAAATAATTAATATTGACTTTTTGTGATTTATATGACATGTATTTTTATATTGTCTTCGTAAGGCGATGAGCCTTCATCATCGGCGTAATTGAATTTACTAGCATGTACTTTTAATCTTACCATCTAATTATTTCCCCAGATTGAGTGCGCAGAGGGAACGTAGTAATTGGTCATTACAGTGATCAAGAAGGAAGTACGATGGGGTACATTTGAGTGACACTGATCACAGTGATATGCGTTACCCAGCATTGTTAACGTTACAGCTTCGTGAACAGGTGCTTCCAGAACGCACAGAGACAAATTGTACTGCCGTGTTATCATGATGCGATAAACTTGCTACGACGATCCGATAAATATGCTATATAATTCGGAACTACTTTCTGTGAGCTGCCAACTGGTTCAATACCCATTGCCTCTTTGGTCAATATTTGTAGATGGAGGTTTTCCTGGCGTATGTGTTTCCGTCAACACACATGGCTGCAGAATCATGTGGCACTATATCTTAAATAGGGCGGTTCACCCTGCTCGTGGCATTGTATTCATACGCGATTGCTAATGTTCCTGCGGCAAGTGTAAATGAGTTGGGTTTCACACCTAACCTACTACTAACCAAATATTATATTTCATTATTAGACTGTGTTGCATACGAAAATGTAGAACAAGTTGGAATCATATCGTTGCAGTCGATGTTGTTCAAGAACCTGCAGCGTTCACGAGGACCCTTGTCGTTAAGGCGCCGCGATTCGTCACCAGTGTCGTCCCTTGGGAGTCCCAAACACCTATGATCGAGAGTTCGAATCCAAGATGTTTCTATGTTTGTCAGCACCATAGCCGTGCCCGTGGTTTCGCCAAAATGGTAAACGTCTGAAACACGCAACACTTCGGGCTTTCCTTCCACATCAAGCCGACATGCCGTGATATAACCGGAATACTGTTCAAACCAAATCCCTAACCCACTCAAGAAATTGCAAATGATGAAATTAAGCCTCCTTGTTGATAAATTTAAACTAATATATTCCAAACTTTCAAATGTCAATTCCGGTGAGCAAAAAAAGGGTTCGTATCAGACATCGCCTGAACAGTTACTGTCTCCCATGGTTGTGAACTATTGAGAACACGAGACACATGTCTGAAGCAGAGAACTAACATGGGTACAGTGCAGATACATTTTTCAATATATCCGTTCCGCTTAACCTCTCCACTCTACGTCAACTGCGCACAAACTGCCACAACGGTATACGTTAAAAACCAAGGTAATTACGCCGTAAAAGGCTGATACTCGTCACGGTAACTACCTAGCTAGCGTACAGACAGTGGTTTATAAGTTCTCTCTCCCTACATCGTTGCAAATAAATCAGAACATACATTGTCTCATCAGTAAGATTGCCGGACTTCGGGAATCGTCGATAAGACAGAGAACCAGTTTAAAGGATTGTCTAGTCACTGTCAATTGTGTATCAGGTCACGACATCAAATAATATGAAATCGAATAACAGCGAAATGACGTTTAGAACGAGAGGAAAAGAAACTCCGCCTAAGTGTATGAAACATCGCAAGGAAGCCTTCTAGACGTTATCAATCTTGACAACACTTGGGGCGTGACCTGTGACGAGGTTTCATAGGCTGGTTGTAGTCAATAGTTTAGAATCAAATCAGTACGAGAACTGATGTAAGTGATCAATCGTTGAAGTTTGTATATTGGGGCGGTAGGGTTAACTGATTGGCAATATTTCAGCGGGTGGCTGACTGAGGTATGAACGGGAGAAAAGAGGACGGAGAAAGTTGGATGATTGACACGTCAGCTGTTTTACGAGTTTGATAATTGACAAGTTTATTTTAACAATATAGTAACGTTTCGGTATTTCTTACTGATTTCCATTTATATGATAAGAATGATGAAAGATAATAACTTCCTTGCGGACGTGATATATACTCACTGTTTCAACTAGTTTCCATTACAGTATATAGGCTGATCGAAAGACTGGCCTCCCAGACTCTACACTGAAGGTTGCCTCTTATACCGTAACATTGTCCTACCGTAGCCGTAGTGGTGTACTTATTGCAGCGTCTGTAACGTGGTGGTGGGTCTGTAACATTGTCCTACCCTAGCAGTAGTGGTGCGCTGATTGCAGTGTCTGTAACGTGGTTGAGGGTCTGTAACATTGTCCTACCCTAGCAGTAGTGGTGCGCTGATTGCAGTGTCTGTAACGTGGTGGAGGTCTGTAACATTGTCCTACCCGAGCGGTAGTGGTGCGCTGATTGCAGCGTCTGTAACGTGGTGGAGGTCTGTAACATTGTCCTACCCTAGCCGTAGTGGTGCGCTGATTGCAGCGTCTGTAACGTGGTGGTGGGTCTGTAACATTTTCCTACCCTAGCCGTAGTGGTGCGCTGATTGCAGCGTCTGTAACGTGGTGGTGGGTCTGTAACATTGTCCTACCCTAGCCGTAGTGGTGCGCTGATTGCAGCGTCTGTAACGTGGTGGAGGTCTGTAACATTGTCCTACCCTAGCCGTAGTGGTGCGCTGATTGCAGCGTCTGTAACGTGGTGGAGGTCTGTAACATTGTCCTACCCTAGCCGTAGTGGTGCGCTGATTGCAGCGTCTGTAACGTGGTGGTGGGTCTGTAACATTGTCCTACCCTAGCCGTAGTGGTGCGCTGATCGCAGCGTCTGTAACGTGGTGGAGGTCTGTAACATTGTCCTACCCTAGCAGTAGTGGTGTACTTATTGCAGCGTCTGTAACGTGGTGGTGGGTCTGTAACATTGTCCTACCCTAGCCGTAGTGGTGTACTGATTGCAGCGTCAGTAACGTGGTGGAGGTCTGTAACATTGTCCTACCTTAGCCGTAGTGGTGCGCTGATTGCAGCGTCTGTAACGTGGTGGTGGGTCTGTAACATTGTCTTACCCTAGCAGTAGTGGTGCGCTGATTGCAGCGTCTGTAACGTGGTGGAGGTCTGTAACATTGTCCTACCCTAGCAGTAGCGGTGTACTTATTGCAGTGTCTGTAACGTGGTGGTGGGTCTGTAACATTGTCCTACCCTAGCCGTAGTGGTGTACTTATTGCAGCGTCTGTAGCGTGTTGGAGGTCTGTAACATTGTCTTACCCGAGCAGTAGTGGTGCGCTGATTGCAGCGTCTGTAACGTGGTGGAGGTCTGTAACATTGTCCTACCCTAGCCGTAGTGGTGCGCTGATTGCAGCGTCTGTAACGTGGTGGAGGTCTGTAACATTGTCCTACCCTAGCAGTAGCGGTGTACTTATTGCAGTGTCTGTAACGTGGTGGTGGGTCTGTATCATTGTCCTACCCTAGCCGTAGTGGTGTACTGATTGCAGCGTCTGTAACGTGGTGGTGGGTCTGTAACATTGTCCTACCCTAGCCGTAGTGGTGTACTGATTGCAGTGTCTGTAACGTGGTGGAGGTCTGTAACATTGTCCTACCCTAGCCGTAGTGGTGTGCTGATTGCAGCGTCTGTAACGTGGTGGCGGGTCTGTAACATTGTCCTACGCTAGCCGTTGTGGTGTACTGATTGCAGCGTCTGTAACGTGGTGGAGGTCTGTAACATTGTCCTACCCTAGCCGTAGTGGTGTACTGATTGCAGCGTCTGTAACGTGGTGGATGTCTGTAACATTGTCCTACCCTAGCCGTAGTGGTGTGCTGATTGCAGCGTCTGTAACGTGGTGGTGGGTATGTAACGTGGTGGTGGGTCTGTAACATTGTCCTACCCTAGCCATAGTGGTGTGCTGATTGCAGCGTCTGTAACGTGGTGGAGGTCTGTAACATTGTCCTAAACTAGCCGTACTGGTGTGCTGATTGCAGTGTCTGTAACGTGGTGGAGGTCTGTTACATTGTCCTACCCTAGCCGTAGTGGTGTACTGATTGCAGCGTCTGTAACGTGGTGGAGGTCTGTTACATTGTCCTACCCTAGCCGTAGTGGTGTACTGATTGCAGTGTCTGTAACGTGGTGGAGGTCTGTTACATTGTCCTACCCTAGCCGTAGTGGTGTGCTGATTGCAGTGTCTGTAACGTGGTGGAGGTATGTAACATTGTTCTAAACTAGCCGTACTGGTGTGCTGATTGCAGCGTCTGTAACGTGGTGGTGGGTATGTAACGTGGTGGAGGCCTGTAACATTGTCCTACCCTAGCCGTAGTGGTATACTGATTGCAACATCTGTAACGTGATGGTGGGCCTGTAACGTGATGGGTCTGTAACGTGGTGATGGGTCTGTAACGTGGTGGTGGGTCTGTAACGCGATGGGTCTGTAACGTGGTGGGCCTGTAACGTGTTGGTGGGTCTGTAACGTGATTGATGGGTCTGTAACGTGATGGTGAATCTGTAATCCTCACTGAAGATTAATGCTCCGTGTTTACGAAACTCGGGGAGCAACTACATCATCGGATGGCGGGAGAGATTCACTTCAACTCGAATAAACTCTTCAACTGCGAGTCCGCTTTGGCGAAGTCAGCAATATACGCCATGTCCAACAACAACAGCGTGGCTTATACCTTCTCATTTCAATTTTCCAATTACCGACTACCGCAGCGGTCCAGAGCAGAAACACTTTAATCGCCATGTCTACGGAGTGTCGTCTCCTCTGTTCTGGCAGCGAAGAGAAACGTCACGTTCGTTATTCCGTCCAAAGTATAACTTCTCTAATTGATTCCAAATATATTTGAAAGCTTGTGATGAAGATGGTTGGGTTACGGGGCTATGCTGCCGTGTACGTGCGAGGTGATGGAAGATGATATCATTGCCAGACTCAGCAACTTCTTCTTCTTGGCATCAAGACAAAACTGCATGTTTGCATAAAGTGGGCTAAATGAAGCGAATCTGTTGTTGAAATGTTGTCACTATTGATCGCCAGCGCTTAAGACAATCATATGGGTAGGGCGGCACTTTCATTTGGCTTTGTGGCAAGTTGTCATTGGGTTTGAAAGTCAGTCGTTGTTGTGTTCACGTCAATGTGTGTGAAGTGGGAATGACAGGTTGGCGTTGAGACGGATGACCTTTGACCGGAGCTGAGATTACATTAAGTGGCACTGGTTTAATGTCCCCTTACACAAATCTCTTTCTCATTTGATATCAAGAACAGGTTTCAAATACAAATCTTCAATCTGCAATAAGATGTTTTATTAACTTGCAATGTACAATGGCAGATTACGACAACCGACGTCTGACGTCATAACATGGAATAAAATCAAGGCTTCATTTCTAATCAGGAAACGTTTTAAATTGCGAAACATCCATTTTTACCCTTTCAGTCCTCGCCGGCATTGTATAGGGGAGGTACTTAGATGATTAAACAGTCGCCTTCAATCTAATACCGGCTTGTAAACAGTTTCTATCGAAGAGCGAAACATGCCGCTAGACGGCGCTGAGGTCACGTTCTCACGCGTGTTTTCTCGTGGTTGATCCGGGATGTGAGGATAGGCGTGTGTTGGTCGTATCCGAGCGATCTGCGGCAATCTGGGACCCTCTACCATCCTATAGAAGCATCACGCCCAAGGATCAAGCATCAACCCCGCCATTCTTCCCCACGCGAGACGCCTCCATCTACGTAATGAAGCCCACGTCGCCAGCAACCACTACGTCCACTTTGTACCCAGCAAACGCCAGGCTTAGCACGTGTATGAACCGTCTTCAGTGGCGTCCGTTAATAGAGTAATCAGCCACGTAAAAGTCGCAATTCGGTCGACGTCGGTGGGATGAAAATATAGACATCCCGGCTGTCATCAAGCAAGGATGTTCACAATCCCCATCAATCTCTCTCCTGACCACATATTTGCTACTTCGTCATTATGATTGTAAACACCTCGTTTCCAACAGCTTCAACGTCTGACAAAACTTTGCAGTCTTCTAATGTGTTTGTAATAGTATTCACAGGGCTCTTTCGACAGTCGTATATCAGCTGGATGCGTTTGTCCTTTACATTTGAATCAAAACACTCTTTTCGATATGAATCATTTAGTTCCAAACGTCCTGGGAGCATGGACGTAGGATTAGCCTTTCAAACTACAAACAAACTGGCTTTTTGTATTGACAAAGATGACCTTTAGTTCTGACCACCGTCTCTGCTGAATGTGGACCATTGTTTGCAGGGTTTTATATATAACTGGGTCGGAAAATCTATCTATCAAACATGAATAGCGATTGACTTTTTGTGGTGCTGCTTCTTCCACCCGGTAGAGTTGATCTTTGTCAATCTTGAGGAGAAATGCGCATGCGTCGACTTTCTTCAAAGTGACTATCTCGCGCCCTTGAATTATTGATTACAGGAAGCTGTTAAAGTGTAACACATGTAGCATCTTCAAACGATTGAATTTTAATATACAACATGAGTAAGTATGGTTTCACGCGGCTTTTAGCAATATTTCAGCATTATCACGGCGGATGACACCAGAAATGGGCTTCAGACATTGTACCCATGTGGGGAATCGAACCAGGGTCTTCGGCTTGAGGCTTTAACCTCTAGGCTAGCCAACCGTACCTAATGTTCAACAGAAAAGTCAGAGAGGACAGTTATAAACTTAACATGATTGTTCGAATGTAGCAGGAGTGCAGTCTCAACTCCGTTATTTGGAATGAGGGTTTAAAATATTATTAAAACACAAAACTAATAATCCAAGAGTAAGAATGCGACCCCCCAGTAACTCAATGTCGGAAGTGGGACGAGGCTCAGTAAGAGGTGGGTGGCGCGAGAAGGAGGTCAGGTGGCCCGTCAAGATTATCATTTACAGGCTACCGCCATTAATTTTAATCATTCATCCATTCATTGAAGCGGACAATCCTCAGGATGGCAATCTGCGAAAGGTACTGGTATTCTCCACTCTTTGATCAACGGTGGCCATCATGGGTGAACGAGTGGATACAGTAAGTAGCCTCATCCCAACGCTTATTTATTTACTTATATTTACGAACACAGACATACGTCTTTAATTGTTTCAATGAGAAGGTATTTCAGTTAACAAAGATAAACGGAAAATGGTGTTTTTGAAAGAGATGCGTTATTTTCCTACATTAGTAGATCGCTGAAAGGAATGCACTTCCTAGACAATTATGGTTTATACAAGTTATCGCAAAGATGAAAGTGGACCACTACACATGCACTGATTCATATTGCCCATGGTAGAACCTTCAGGAACACGAGAAGAAATAATGTAAACATAATAGTTTAGATCAGAGTAAAATTGGTGGATGTCGTAGGCCGCGAGATGTAGCCTAAGCGAAATGGTACTTTTGAAAGCGATACACCTGTACACTGTGCTTCCGGTCACGTGACACCAGGGTCGACGGCGCCTAAACTTCCGGTAACGTAACTCCAACGTCCAACTGAAAGAAGCATCAATTGCTACATAATCACACCAGCAGAGAGTCACGGCCTGTACTTACGACACATCTGACACGACTTCTTGCAGTGCTGACTGACGTTGATGTCCTTCCCACAAACCCCTGTAGAGAGCAGTTCGCGGCACTTCCGGTCGTCATCATCCTCACACCGGTTCGGATCTGTAATATATTTCATGTAATAATGATGGTCTTCATGACGTCATCAGCAAGCGCCAATATGCAAACATTCCACTAGCTGCATTTACCGGTCACTTGAACTGACGCGGGGTTAACCTTGGACTTCATTCATACACACTGACGGGGGTTTACCTTGCTCTTAATTCATACACACTGACGAGGGTTTACCTTGCTCTTAATTCATACACACTGACGAGGGGTTTACCTTGCTCTTAATTTATACACACTGACGGAGGGTTTACCTTGCTCTTAATTCATACACACTGACGAGGGGTTTACCTTGGTATTAAATTAGACACAATGACGGGGGTGGGGTGTTACCTTGCTCTTAATTCATACACACTGACGGAGGGTTAACCTTGCTCTTAATTCATACACACTTACGGGGGATTTACCTTGGTCTTAATTCATACACACTTACGGGGGATTTACCTTGCACTTAATTCATACACACTTACGGGGGATTTACCTTGGTCTTAATTCATACACACTTAAGGGGGATTTACCTTGCACTTAACTCATACACACTTACGGGGGATTTACCTTGGTCTTAATTCATACACACTGACGGGGGTTTACCTTGCACTTAATTCATACGCACTGCTCAGTGCGGTGTTCAACAACAAACAATCACACCCTAGAATAGTGAGTAAGTGAGTTAAAATATATTGGCACACCCTGGAACAGAATATAATGTGGAAAATGTGATAATGGGTCACACAACTATGTTAATGATACACGCTGTCTGCATTTAGATCGTGCTGCCGTCCTAAAATCATTCACCAGGTTATATGTTTATTTTGGGCCGCCTAGAATACATACAGCCAAACTTGGTATAATTTGTCATCAATCTGATTTATTAATGTTGATTCTTCCACCGAGTCCAAAGCCATATATGTACATAAATATTATGCCGAAGGTATTGATAGCAATGCCTTTGTATAAATCAAGTAAACCCGTCCTTTACGTCCGCAATTACGTTGTATACATCCTCTACACCGATCCTTTATCCTAAACACTTTTTTTCGGTTGATAAGCACTGCAGACAGCCCTGATGGGTATATTCAGTGTCATTTATGACGTTTACAAAACATCAATCTATATTACAATATTTACAATAATACAGTTCGTCAGATGATAAATATCCTGGAGATATTGAATGGAACAGGTCGTGCTGACTACATCGTGGCATTCAGTATTCGCGCACCTGTCATCTCGTTTACCAAAGTTTCACATCAAAGGGAGTCGCCTATAGTCACAAGGATAATTGGTAGTGATGCCACAGGCGTTATTAAGCAATTGGACTTACACAAACTTTGCAATGATACCAATTAATTACAGCGTCTATCATTATAGCTTAGTTGATAACAAGGGACATCTTGTTTAGAATTTACATTTTTCAACACTTAATGTTAAATAAATGAACCTTAAAGCCTATTACCGTAAACTACGTTTATAACGAACACGCTTATAACGAACTGACGGATATAACGAACTTACTTTTTTGTCCCGACTATCTGTTGTAGTTATGTTGTATATATGCTTATAACGAAAAACGGTTATAACGAACTAAAATTAGTGGTCCCTTTGAGTTCGTTATAACCGTAGTTTACTGTAATCCGAACTGCACCGTACCATGTGAAACAGCACGGATTAACGAATGGCGGAAACGTAAATCCTTTTAATTAAACATTGATGACCCAAACCTATAGCAAAGGTCTGATTCCCAGATTCGCTGCAAACACTGGTTTAAAGGGAGACAATGCTATACTGTCGGGCGTCCATTTTGTGTGTACATCTAGGCGTTGTAGTTGGTGATATGTGTGATGTTGAGACTCGTAATTGGGGCAAGTTTTACAATTAGATTGCCAAATATCACAGAATTTGAATTTACACATAAAAGAAGCACTGAACGAATTGAATCAAATTTCTCGGACTGTCAATTTGTCAGGACCAGACCCTTTTTTAGAGGCTAGGGCAAATGACAAGTTTAGGTCTTCCTGAACTGTTTATCTTCAACCCAAAGTTTATAATGTATATCAATACATCAGCTAATAATTACCAAACTGCTTTTCCTTTTCATACACCCTAAATATGGCGACTAGAAATAGGGTGGAGTGGGCCACGAACTGCGGAGAATCTTTGTCAGGTTGTGAAGCAGAGTTGCTCTTCAACTTTCATAAATTGTTTTTAACATCGTATGACAATCCTGTCATGTTTTTAGATAATTTTTATATACCAGGAAATCAAACATTCTAAGGACATTGCCAAGTGAACAAAGGACCCATATTTGATAGAGCATCAAATGTTAATATCATAAGTCACAATATGGGACAGAACTAACACGGTATACTGTAGTCTGTACAATGAAAACATGATTGAACGAGACCCGTGGAAATATACCCTAGTGTTTCGATCAACCAAGAAAAATTGTCTTTCAGAAGTGCAAATGTGCTGCCCAAATATACGTTTTTGATGTCGTAGAATGGGAAAAGGTCGATGGTTTTAAAAGAAGCATTGTAATCAGATAGTATATCAGTATCGTTCCACGTGGTCATTTGCAGAGGCACTGAGAGCTTCATAGTTAACGAACAACCATGTTCCTATGGGCTTCACAAAAAATAATTGTTATTAATGTTCCTCCCTTGGCATCTGACCACGTTAATTTTGCCCTAAAAAATCGAATACTGACGGAAATAAATAAGGGAACGATTACGATGGAAAGTGTCCCATAATATTAACGCCCCTAAGATCATTTTGCAATAAACACGCCATACAGTAACAGTGGCTTATGAGTGATAGAGTATGGTTTTACGCCGCTTTTAGCAATATTCCAGCAATATCACGGCGGGGGGCACCAGAAATGGGCTTCACACATTGTACCCATGTCGGGAATCGAACCCGGGTCTTCGGCGTGACGAGCGAACGCTTTAACCACTAGGCTACCCGACCGCCCCCAGTGGCTTATTATCATGTGAGTAAATATCTAGTGTTTGAAAGGCGTTTCTTAGAAGTTGACGGATGACAAAGAAGACAAACTTTCATGGATATCAACTTGCAGTCAGTCCTGCTTCACAACGGTATGTTTGAGGCTCTTATACCGAAACGTTGCTATCACAGTATGATAATGTTGTTGTTATCCATAAACCACGTCTACTTAGCAAAATATTTACAGAATAATTATCCCGGGTGAACCAATTTGGCAATCATGAAAAATAGATGACGTCATCTTCACTAACATATATTAATTTTGCAATAATGCGTTAAATGACGTCATGTTACGGGTCTCTTAGCAAACAATGAAATCAATCATAAGAACGAGCTAGTTAATAAGCATAAAGCGACAATTAATCATGCTCAGTGGGGATTACTGTAAAACATCCGTGCCCCTATGAGTTATATAAATGCTGTATATTCCCCACGATATGTCTCGGTTTTACTAGTGGTAAGTATCTGGATAATGAACCTCCTACCTCGTCTGCGCATGCGCATTTCGTAGTACTCTATTCCATGAGGAGGTTTGCCATCTGGTTCTTCTGGACAGATGACGTTGAAGTAGATTAGAACAGAGAACTCCCCATCCTGGTTCTTGGGGAAACGCTGTAGAAGCAATGGAGTGACAGTGTCAAATAACATGCGAACACGTGTGATTTATAATGGGATGTGTCTCAATTGCGAGATTTACTGAGGGTTTTGGAAGTTTTTAAAGGGTCGAAATTTTTTACTGAACTGACATGTGCATATGGAAAAAAAATGAAGGCGCCGCTATTGAATATGTACGTCACGATTTTCTTTTAAGTATCTAAGGATAGAAGTGGGTAACCTACCCAACTAAACCTAAGGGCCGAAGGGGCACGCGAGATCAGTGGAGAGATACTAAATGATATTTCTTGAGACATCTAGTTTTTCATTGGGTGACATATTCTACACTAACACCAAATGGAAGAATCATGATGACAATCACTGCATGGTCTAGTCCAGACTCGATTATTTACAGACCGCTGTAGCGGGAATATTGATGAGTGCGGCGTTAAACAACAATCAAAATGGAAAGGTATACCGAAGAATCTCAAGTGTGACACATTGTGTATGAAATAAGACAAATATAAAGACGTATGTGTATCGTTATCGTTATCTTGTGTAACTTTAAAATATCAGCACGTTTCATCTGATACATATATTTTTTTTAAATATTACTTTATTTATTTTTTAAAAACGAACGCTCTCATATTCATTAAGACCAAGTTAATGTTGTATGACAGTGGTCGTACCAGGCAGTAGCGCGGCTTCTCCGATACGTCCGAGGCAACGATGAATATGAAGCCATTGTTCTCCCAGCCTGCACAGCACGTCAGCCTCTTCCCTGAAACAGACGGAAACATCACAGTCATGGAGGATAAAGATATATCATAAGGAGCTGTAACAGAATAAGGACACTATCTGCTTCTTTTTCTTCTCCATCATCATCATCATCATCATCATCATCATCATCATCATCACCATCATCATCAGCATCATCACCATCATCAGCATCAGCATCATCACCATCATCATCATCATCATCACCATCATCATCATCATCATCATCATCACCAGTCAACACAATACCCGAACTCTAGTGTTTACTTATTGAAAGTATTGCTGTAAAGCAAAGTCTTGAAGCATTGTCTTGTAACTCCGTCTTATGGAATTGTTGTGTAACTTCGCCTTGTAGCATTGTTATAACTAAAATGACATATAGTCGTTCCTGGGCGGGTGCTACCCGTAGGGCAGGATATGATCTCCCGTTCCAGCAAGAACCTGGCCTTATATCACAACGATTCTTGGGCGCAGCTTTCTGTGAACAAGCCTCTTCCATTGTGCTTGAAACACAGTCGGGGAAACCCCCAAGGCCGACGTTCTAATTATATCTATATCTACAGAAATACATGGCAGTGTTACAGATTATCTGTTTGACAAACTGACGATATCAAATTTAATCAATTATTTATTGTTGTCTTTCCGGACCAGTGCACAGTCTTGAAGGAAATGATTCCTTAACGATAAAGGAAAAACACATATCCAACTGTGACAAACAAAGAGAAGATAGTTTGTATGGAACAATTATTCTCATTGTCTTTGACAAACAAGCTTTGCACTGTTTGCTATAGGTTACTGATATATGCAGCGATAAGACGAAACAGCTTTCACTGGAGTTAACGGTTTGTTGAAATCGCTGGATCCAAGTACAAAGCACTTGAGGGAAGGCTTCGTTTTAGAGTTTGTTCAAATGTAACTCCATCCACAGTTACTCGGCTTTGAGGGAAATCTGTCAAGTTTTGCATGCAGCGTAAAAAGGGGGGCTATACTCCTTCCTCATCGGACCCACATTCAAAGACCTAGTTACTTAGCTTCTGTAACATGAGCCGGGTTTAACTTGCTGACTCTGCACAATGGTCTAAAGTAAAAGCTTAGGGAAGTAGGTACAAGGTGCGACTGTCGGTTGTTTGGATGACCGCCAAGCTTTGAATACGCAGCAGAAAATCAGCAATCCTTAGAACCAATGTGTTATGAGTGAGTAAGTTGGGTTTAACGCCGCTTTTAACAGTATTCCAGTTAAACCACGGTGTGTCAGCTAAATGTGGGGGGAAAGCCTGAAGTGATGCATTTACCACTTCGGTGAAACCCACGAGCACACGTATGCTGCTGACAAACCTAGAAACATAATCGGGGCGAACCGGAATTCGAACCCAATATCATAGGTTTCTGGTGTGCCTAAGGGACGCAACTCTGCACAGCGAATCGCGGTGCCATAGACGACTTAGACACCCGTGCCCCCACCATTAAATAATGATCCTAGTTGTATTTAACATGTTGTATTCGTGAATGTCTTGAAACATTAATATCATTGTCGGTTCCTTGAAAAAAATATCCTTTATTTACATAGGAAAAAAATAGAATAAAACTTAATACTTTAGCAGTTATTATGGACTATCATGGTTGAGAATCGGACTGGCTATTCCCTGCGTTGACGTCATGTATGTTGAGTCAGGTGCCTTAGTAAGAGAGTCTTACATCAACATACTTTCTTCTTTTTTAAAAACGCCGCTTTAAACAGTATTCAAATTATATCACGGCGTCAGCTTGAGGAAAGTGATGCAGGTCTTAGACGTTTACCGCTTCGGTGAAACCCACGAGCACGGGTATGGTGCTGACAAACCTAGAAACATAATCGGGGCGAACCGGGATTCGAACCCACAATCATAGGTTTCTGACATGCGCAAGGGACATAACTCTGCACAGCGAATTGCCTTAAGGTAGTGTGTCACAGGATACTATCATATGTAATACACAGAAGCTAACCATACTGTGATCAGGTTAACACAAAGTCTTATTGAATCTCGCAAGTAAAACCAAAGTGAAATGACTGGAAATAATTCCAGAACAGGCATTATGAAAACCATATTAGGATCAATTTGTATTGGCCCACTTTGCCTCTAGACATGGGTGCACTCAATGACAGAATAACGGTAATTTCTATAACAAGAGAGGGCATCCCATCCTTCAATGTGTAATTCTGTGGACAGATCACAGAGACAAGTCCCAGAGGCCAAAAACCTCCCAACCGCACACACTCCACAACACGACGATTCTTTCATTTAGTCATGTGACAAATGATTCCTGGCCAAGCCTGGAGGGGGCATTATCTAAAACGTTGGCTATGTTTGTCTTCTCTCGTTCCCCGGGTATAAAAAACTGGGAAAACACTTAATTTCGAATCGTTTAAATTACATACAGTAAACTACGGTTATAACGAACTCAAAGGAACCACTACTGTAGCTCGTTATAACCGTAGTTCGTTATAAGCATATATACAGAATATAAACAGCAAATGGTCGCGACCAAGAAATAAGTTCGTAATATCAGTCAGTTCGTTATAAGCGTGTTCGTTATAAACGTATTTTACTGCAGGTTTAACTGTTCGTTTTATTGCACTTGTGACGTTTGGCTGTGCATGCAATATACCAGAAGGGTGGAAGTTTTCAACTAAGGTTTGTTTTAGAACATTGGCCTTATTGTAAAAAGATCGACTAAAAAAACGTATTTTTTGTTTTAATCAGCTTGAATTTGTCAAGGAGACTAAAATGAATAATTACATGATTTATCCAGTATGTCACAGTCGAATGTGGTACTTAAAGTTCTTTCAACAAAGTGGTAAACTCAAGACCTGCGTCACTTACCCCAACATTAAGCTGACACACGTGATTTTACTGAAATCTGTCAAAGCTGCGTGGGAACAAACCAACCCACTATAGATCAATCACTTGACACAGGTAACCTAACGACCTTACAAGAGGGTTATTTTCCCTGCCAGTTGTGCGGGGGATATAGGGACGGAGTTCGTCCGTCCTTCTGTCTTCCTCCGTCCGTCCGCTTCTCAAAGGGGACACTTTTTCAAGAACTATTTAAGTTAGAGAAATGAAATTTTACACACTGGCATAACTGGTCGTGATCTTAAATGTGTACGAAACTTAAATTCATTTTTACAGAGTTATGGTTCTTGTTCTGTGCTTTTCGACTGAGAACATACTGCGTGAAATGGGGCATGAGTTTTTTCCATGTTATTTTGCAAAGTGCATAGTGTCTGCAATTAGAACAGGTTTTATCACAAACTACTGAAGTTAGCTTATCTAAAAGATACTTATCAAGACTTCGAGTTCGAGAATTGGTGCCATAAATTATTTTTTCCAGAGAAGGGCCCCTTCATGTGTATTAATTTCGCATTTAATCATTTTTTTCTGATAACATAAAGCGTCTCTAGTGCCTGTCTCTTCTTAAGGCTTTATAGGACTCTTTTTTATAGTTTATATTCACAACAATATGAACAAAAAAAATCAAATGTGTCCCATGGCGGGGATAGTGATATTTCTTTCTAGAATTTCTTTTCAGAAATACCCATAACAATCCTTGCTGCCAAGTAAGAGTAACAGGCTGGCTGACTTAGTTGATGCATGTCACCGTTGATGTAAATCACCGGATTGTGTGGTCCAGACTCGATTATTTTCAGACAGCCGTCATATAGGTGTAAATTGCTGAGTGCGGCGTTAAGCAACAAACAAACAAACAAACAAACAAAACTGGAATAAAGTTCTAATTTACCATATTGTGATATTTAGAAGCAATAGTATAACTCTAAAGTCTTATGTTTTTTCTTCAAAATCTGAAGCATACTGTTACTTAATTGGACACAGTCTTTCTAAATAGTTTTACTTATATAAATTAAAATTTAAACAAAGCGAAATAGGTTTTTTATTACCCTTGCAGATGAACTGCTTTTTCAAAGGGACAAGAACTTTGAGATTTAACCTTTAGTTTTACTCGTATTCGCATTTAAACGCCATCAGGCTCTCCTGGTCAGCAATGGCAAGTCTGTTTTGTTTGTTCACGGTTAGAAGATAGACTAAACTGTAAAGTCATCTGGTCCATAATGTCATAATGATATTATGTTTCAGTAATCAAAGAGTGTGCGTTAATAGTTACTTTTGACGCACATATGTTGACACACCCATAAATTCAGCACCAGGTTTTCAAGATGTCTGACACCTGTAAGGTTTGTTTTTGAATGACACTGGTACTTACAAACACCGTGTCTCAGGAATGGGTTGCAGATGCTGCCCGTGGGAGCGATGAAGTCAAGTCCGTCCCCGCTCAAGCATTCGATCTCTAGCTGCGACCGTCGCCATTCATCTTCGCAAACGTCCTGAAACAACACGTAATATGTAGAACCGGAAGTGACGTTTTATGATTGTATAAAGTTACTAATGACGTTAATGCTAAACGTGGCAAACATAACTGATCATGAACTTTAATGAACGAAGATTACTCTAACGGCAATCATGACGATCCAAAAGATTTCAATAAGATAAAGGGGTTTCTAAACTTTTCATGTATTGTGGCGATACAGCTTGTGGTTGAAGGACATGTTCTGGATTAACGATGGTCTGCTGTGCAGTGAAACCTCGTTAGCACGATTTCCATGATTTATGTAGATGTCACCTCAATCACCAAATCATACTAGTACAATGGTCTGGTACAGGCAAGCTGCTTGTCTCGAATTACGGCGTCCCTTGGGCACGCCAGCGACCAATGATTCGAATCCCGGTTCACCCCGATTATATTTCCAGGTTTGTCAGCACCATACCCGTGCTCGTGGGTTTCATCGAAGTGGTAAACGTCCGAGACCTGCATCAATCCGGGCCTTCTTCTCACATCACGATGACGTGCAATGACATAATTTGAATACTGTTCAAAGCGGCATTAAACCCAACTCACTCACTCACTATTATATCACGTGTCTGACTCATGAAGAAGGAAATCCCAATGTCGGTAAGTTATTTACTACTGCCGTTTCTGTTAGAGCAAGGTTCTTAATCGGGTCGAGTATGGGATACGTAACTGGAATACTGTTCAAAGCGGCGTGAAACTCCCGAGTGAAACTCACTCACTCACTCACTCACTCACTACTATATCACGTGTCTGACTCATGGAGAAGGAAATCCCAATTTCGATAAGTCATTTACTACTGGTATTCTTTTATCAGAGCACTCACTCACTCAAATAACGGATAACTCGCAATGTTATTCAATGGGTTCTTGGACGTCGAATTGACAAGACACTGCTAGATCGGACACTTGTATTTTAATTGTGTTTTCCTTAAATCTCCATATAGCCACCAAGCTCATGGTGAAATCGTTCCCCGGGAAGCTTTCCGCTGTTATACCATACAAACACTATATACAAGCAGAAACGTCCATCTTCATTCACTGTACATGAATTTCCCGTTCTACGTGTGTCAAGATTTAAATTAATGTCCACGACGGCTCTAAGTGATGGCCCTTGGAGTCCAGAGCCACGAGAAAGAGCAGAAGTTCTGCCAGTGTAATAAACTGGGCCATTCATCAAGTGTTTTCTTTCCGAGATGTCGTCGTTTGTTTTGTTTGAAATATCTTCATTTGCTTTCCTGTAATTTTTGTAGGAAAATGCCAAAATTCTAACAGTTTGTCGTTTAGTTTTCTGTAACATTAGAACAGAACGAGGAACGCTAAAACAACCAGTTTTTTGTCGACAAGTTACTAACATCTTCGCAAAGAAATGCTAAGTGTGCTTTTAAATGTTATTTTTGAATGGAAATATTGATTTGTGGAAATAGCTGTTGGGGCTATAAAAACTTTGAGGACAAAATATTAAAAGCCATTTATTGACATTTTCTTTACCGTGGAATCTGATTTGAAGCTGCCATATTAACTCGTTATAAGCTGGATCCATGCAAGTTAGATAGTGACAATCTCTACCTAATGTTAAGAGCGTACAACCCCACTAACATTATGTCAAATCGTCCCTCAAAGTCGCTAGCAGGCGACGGATTTTTCCATTTCAGCATTCTGTGCATCAATCTATTACAGATATTGAATTAGGAATAATCCAATAGCCATTACTAAAGAGTCTTATTTTCATCAAGGTCCTTTTGACTTGAGGAAAGCCACATTGGTTTAAAGAGAGTGTACAAGAACTAATTAAGGCTGGCGGTTGACTTTTACCGGGACATATAATGGCATCCCCCGAAGGAGCTGGGGGCTGTAAAAGGGGCATTAGCGTACAAAGGGGACATCCAAAAGAGGTCTTTAAGATAGAGATATATCGTTTTATCAGCTATAGACTATTTGTGGCTACACTTAGATAAAGGTTCCAGTGGAACTAAAATACATGTTGTTTTTTTTGTTTTTTTTAAAATAGGTAATTAGAACATGTTATATAATCAGCTGGTGATATTTAGCGCATAAATGCAAATTCCAGCCATGTCTCATTTATTATTGTCTTTTATTTAACATTTTGACAAATAATCAAATAAGTTATCAAAATAGTAATATTTTAATGTATCTTAAATCCGAATAGCTGTGATAAAAGGCTTACATACATTTAAACGTGATACAGGGGCCCGGAAACGTTTACCCTTTTCTCGAACACATGGTGTTCTGTCTAATTTTGATTGATCCATTCATATGATTTTCACAACTACATTATTTTACGCCAGTGGAATCTGTTTAACGGATAATCGAACTGGTTATTCTCTGGTGTTGACGTTTTATATTTAGCTACTGATTAACACATTTTTATATATTTAATCAATTAAAATTGCATTGTTACTTTTTTTTAAAAGCGTTAATTACCTTTCACAGTTACCATTTTGTAAATAAGATACATGTATACAAATACGATTGCCTGATACGATGTCGATTGATTTATCAATGTATTAATTTGTATTATTTTAAAATAAATACGTCATATTTGAAACTTGATACTTCTAGTCATTGATCTTGTACAGAAATATGAAAAAGTTCTTTTCTTTCATTACAGCCAGTGCACTGCCTGCACTGACAATCAGACGGTATCATCTGCTTCCTAGCTTTGTTAACAATAATGGTGGATTCGAGGTCACGTCACATCTGCCCTACAGCAGCATCACGCGCTGTCTATATTTCTCATCCCATATATTATATGAGATGAAACATTTGAAAACACTTTCAATAATTGTCCAGGCTTCAAGCACAGAATCCAAAATTAGAAAATGAAAATATATATTTGGTGAATGAGTAGGATTAAAACATAAACGCCTTCGTATGATAAAAGCTGCATCAACCACATTAAAAGTAACATTGGCAAGGCATATTAAGGATTCTACACCCACGATAAATGTCAAAATAGGAAAACCGGGCGTTTCCATTACGGTGACCACACCCAGGATTACGTCGGCCTTCCCTACATCATAAGCTGGCATACCGTGCTATAACTGGAATACAGCTCAAAGTGGCGCTAAACCCAACTCACTCACTCATCTAAGATTTGACTAGCTCTTCCGGTTGAGCGGATTCAGCATGACACCGTCTTATCAGTATTTAATCAATGATGTTTACAACCTACGTGTACAACCTCATGTAACCTATGGTTATAATTAGTAAAAGCGACGAGATCTTAAAGTGAAACTTTCCATAATCATAAGAATGATATAATCACATGCAATATTCCGTCTCAAGAATTAAATCTATTTACAACCAGCTTCATAGAGAAATCAATCCCCATTTTGGAGTGACCGGAAACATGAATCTATAAATTACTACTGGCTCCATGTTTTCATTCATGGAACCGTTCTCCTAAACGCACCCACCGTGATAAGTAGCGATGTCGTGCAGCTGGGCGACCAACTAGGGCAGTAATTTGGATGTTGAAAGACAAAGGTTACCACACCATACACCTGCCACTAAGAGCTTTATTGTCTTGTAATTGTACAGGCAGAAACTGGCCAACATATGGATCCTTTCATATCCACATACCCTGGTTCCTAAAAATGGTCACTCGCGTTTCTACTCGTATGTCCATTATTTTTTACCTGCTTACTAATTAATACTGAAGCCTCGATAACCTAACATTGCTGTTTATTCATTCATCTTATGGAAAACGTTTTAAGATCGTGCAACGTAAATACTTTTATACAGTAAAATCAATTAGCCCAGTGTCGATGCAAGTGATCATTCATTAATGTGATATTCAACCTCCGACTACTTATCTTAAGAATCTGCAGTAACCATGGTAACCATGAGTGAGTTTGGTTTTACGCCGCTTTTAGCAATATTCCAGCAATATCACGGCGGGGGACACCAGAAATGGGCTTCACACATTGCACCCATGTCGAGAATCGAACCCGGGTCTTCGGCGTGACGAGCGAACGCTTAAACCACTAGGCTACCCGACCGCCCCTCACATGCTTCTGTAAGGTCATGTTTTGTGGCAGGACAATGGCAACGTGTTTATTGTTCGGCCACAGAACATGGTTACTACAGATTCTTAAGAACACTGCGTGAGAATGTTGTTTGTGATGACTGCGGCATGTTATTCAACAAGACCATGCTGTTTATTTGCTCAAATTAATACTGTGAATAAGTATTTACAAAAAGAACAGACATGGTCACTGGACAATCTTGATGTCCTGAAAAAAAATGTGCTGAAAAAAATGAATGTTTTTGTTCCTACTTTCAGAGAAAAACATTGCATGTTTTGAAGCAGTGGCAGAACAGTAGTTTGCCTCCACCAAATAAGCCAAGATATTAAATGATCGGTCTCTCAAAATTGTTCAAAAATTTTACAAAATATATACAACCATATTTTCAATTTGCATTATTTCTATATATTTTGTACTACCTTCTCTATGGTAATGACAAATGGATCCGTAAACCAAGACTTAGAAAAGAGGATAACAGTAATACCATACATAAGGTTTTTGGTTTTGGTTTGGTTTGTTGTTTAACACCGCACTCAGCAATATTCCAGCTATATGACGGCGGTCTGTAAATAATCGAGTCTGGACCAGAGAATCCAGTGATGGACAGCATGAGCATCGATCCATGCAATTGGGATACGATGACATGCATCAACCAAGTCAGCGAGCCTTACCGCCCGATCCCGTTAGTCGCCTCTTACGACAAGCATAGTCGCCTTTTACTGCTCCATACATAAGGATTGATCGTGTGATCGTGTAATAAAAAGTAACAACGTACCTCATTGGTCAGTCTGCTGAATGTCCGAAACGTAAAACCGCCGCTGATTGGACAAAAATATGGCCTGCTTGTATAGGGACCTGAAGAGTAATGAAAAACATTATGGTTTCTTGGTGACAACTTCTTTATTCAATCTCATTAAAATCAGATCTTAGTGCTCCCTACCGCTACACCGAAGATCTAAGCGGGCATTTTGATCCACCAATGAAATGACTAACAGGAAGTCGACATTAGCCAATCAGAAAGCAGCTATCTCGAGCTCTACGGCAGAAGTTTGAAAATGGCGATTCACGACAGAGTTCTCGATTCAAACTTTGGAAACTGGACAAAGTCTGGAATATTTAATAGATAGTCGAGATTTTATGGTAGTAACCCACGGGCTATGGAAAGCTTCTTCCGTTTCAAATGTTTATCCTATTGAAAAAATAAAAGCGACCAAACTCTTTCCATATTCATAAGAAATCTCTGCCAAAAGCAGAGTCGATTGTGCAATTCCGAGAAACGTAGGCGATGTCCAGAATTCAGAATCAGTCGAACAGCCCGTAAGTGTCGTACGGAATATCCCGTGTTAAGCTTTTTGAAGTTGCCTGATTAGGAAACACATTCGTGCTTTCACTTCCGTGATCTCATAAGCGACGCTCTGATTGGTCGGATGAAAGGTCATTCTGGCGTGACCTGTAATGGGATGCTCTCACCTTTGTATAGCGGTAGAAAGAGATACGATCTGATTTTAATGTGCTTGCTTGTTTATTATTGATAAGACAGCATTTCTCGAACGTCTAAACACGGTAACAGTAACACGGTCCACGTGTAAGAGCGAGTGACTTTGTTGGTTTAACGCCTCTTTGAACAGTATTTCAGTTATATCACCGCGTGGCAGCTTAATGTGGGACCTTGATGCAGGTCAAAGACGTTTACTACTTGGGTGAAACCCACGAGAACCGGTATGGTGCTGACAAACAGAGAAACATAATCAGTGTGAATTCGAATCAACGACCACAGGCTTCTGGTACGCCCAAGGGAGGCAAATCTGCACAGTGAATTCGGCCTCTACTACGTCAGAGGGCGGTGGGGTAGTCCTGTGGTTTAAGTGTCATATAGTTATGCCGTAGGTCCGGGTTCGATTCTTCAAACGGGAACAGTGTGTTACGGCAATTCTTGATGGACGTCGTAATATTGCTTGAATATTGCTTGAATATTGCTAAATCGGCGTAAAACTGGAATGAGGGAGTTAACAGAAATAACAGTGACAAAACGATTTCCACATTCATGAGAAGTATCTGCAAAAACAGTCGATTGTACGATTAAGACTATATCATGAGCCTGTGTTCATGAATCACTATCAAATAGTGATGATTCCAGGTGTTCGCGAAAGGCTGAGCTTATCCTGCCCCGACGCCGGCATCCGTCATAAACGCATGCAAAGGCGAGTCAATTGTTCACCTGAAAAGCAACAACACGGGAACATATGGTACAAGTCAAAGTAGGGAATCGCATCGGACATCATTTTTATCACCGATGCGTCAAATTTGGAAATGTCCTCCACATGTCTACCATAAAACATTTACAAACCTCAACTGGGGCCTAGAATGTTGTAACACTGATACCACACCTTCTGAGCAGGTGTTGCATGACGCTCTTGAAATATTCTTTGACAGGGCATGCTCGATTGTACCTCAAACATTGTGAAATTTAAACTTCGGAAGGCATTTGCTTTCATTTTTGACAAATTCACCTGAACCTCTGAAAATAGATATGTAAATATACCTTTGTTCACCACGTTTTGTAACCAAAGCCATAGGGATCAAGGAATGATGATTTTCCTGAAGTTTGTCATGGTGTAATATACATGGTATAATAATGGTATTATAGGTGTGGAATGTAGACTTTCCACTGAATCCTGTTTTAATGTCAACGTCACAACGAACACCAAAGGCCTCCCCAATGCGTAGTTTCATCTCTAAACTCAATCTCGACATGTCATACGAAAAAACACACGAAATGTCAGGACCTGTAATATATTAATACTGCCATTGAAATGAACAAAAGTTCAGAACCCTAAACTCATGAATAATTTCAATATCACAATAATGAATTCGGGTGTTGATGGTTCGGAACAGACTACAGACGTGTAATGACGTTGATACAGGATACATTAAAACGGCAAAGGGAATTAATCTGAAGAATAAAGTCACATGCATATCCACAAACATATCCACAATAAACAGTTGCAGCTAACGAATCCAGTATTCAAAACTAGTTCTAGCTTCGTTTCCATGCAAGGGTGGCTCAGTTGTTAGGGTGCTGCAGAGTTGCGTCCCTTAGTCACGCAAGATGCCTGTGATTGTTTCACCGGCTAATGTTTCTTGGTTGTCAGCACCATACCCGTGCTCGTGGGTTTCACCAAAGTGGTAAACGTCTAAGACCTGCATCAATGCAGGCTTTCCTCGTGTATCAAGCTGCCGCGCCGCGATATAACTGAAATATTGTTTAAAGCGGCGTTAAATCAACTCATTCACTCGTTTCCTTTGCTTTCGCCTATTTTGTTCCGATTTTGACACAATAAAGATGTTAGAATAATCCAGTGACTAATATCATGCGTATTGATGAAAGCAATTGGAATATGATGACATGCATCAACCAAGTCAGCGAGCTTCGCCACCCGATCCCGTGAGCATAGTCGCCTCCCATGACAAACATGGCTTGCTGAAGACCAATTCTAACCCAGACATAATGGATACCAAACATCCTATATTATAACACTTTTATGTAGTACAATGTGTGGCACTTCAACAAATAAATTCATCATCTTCGTCTTCTTTTAGCTTGAAATACATACACACCTGTTAAACCCAGCTCTTCATATATTTCCATATAAAATAGACACTTTTAAATCATATCTTTTATTAATCTTTTTTTGTCACAAAGTGACATTCTCATTGAAATAAAGAAAGCGAAATTAATTATCTAAAAACATCTTGTATTTGATTACCCTTGGGTTTGTTTCCTGTGTTTCTTTGCATCATAAGATATTGCCGAGTTTTAACCAACTTTTCATCAGGTACCAGTCGTCCTGTTTTTATCTGGAATGGCTACCAATCACTTTTTGCTTGTTCACAATTAACCGCAACGATGCAGACAGAATCAATGGACCTATTTAAATATAACTTGAACATAAAAAATATATTTACATGACAGATTGAGAATTCCATGTTTATCAACATATTTCCAATATTTGACAGTAAGCACGTACGTCTATCTAGGGGCATATATCCGAGTCACTATAACATCAAAGCTCATGATTAACCTTGAATTATATTTGCTCGACAACGGTCCTTGTTCAGAGTGGTCCTTGTTCAGATGAAAGGCTGTTCGGGGAGCGCCATCAGCTCTCTGATAAATAAGGTCAAGTCAGTGCACGTCTTGCACGGGTTGTATGTGTTCCGGTGTAACGGTACTGTTTGTTCGGCATATATCACCCTTCTCGCTACCCATCGACAGAAGTCGATACCCTCGTCACGAAAACATAACCAAACATCAGATTAATATTCGCTCTCGTTGACACAGAAACATCAAAGGTGCAAACGCACGTGTCGCACGTGTATCAACAAGCAAAATGGAGTTCTGTTTTTAGCACAGCGATACGTGTTGTTGGCGTGTAGAAGAATAAACAGTATATGCCTTCAGAATATCCGATGGATATGACCGAAATTACTGGCTTGCTGATTTAACCATATCTAACCTCCTCGGTTAGATTTATCTAGTATATATAAAACACCAACGCCAGAGAATAACCATTCTCAATTATAAGCCGAAACAGATTTCATTGGGTACAAATGGCAAAATTAGCTGAGAAAATTATATGAATGGATCACTGATAATCTGTAATAACACCGGGTGTTCCGGAAAAGTCATCATTAATTTATGTAGAATTCTACTAGCAGGACCGCCTCCGTGCTCTCGTGGTAGAACGTCCGCCCGGAGAGCGGAAGGTCAGGGGTTCGATCCTCGGCCGCGTCATACAAAAAGACGTTCAAAGATGAGGGGGGCACGGGTGGCCCAGTCGTCTAAGGCGCCGCGATTTGCTGTGGGCACGCCAGAAACCAATGATCCCGGTTTGCCCCGATTATGTTTCTAGGTTTGTCAGCACCACACCTGTGCTCGTGGGTTTCACCGAAGTGGTAAACGTCTGAGACCTGCATCACTTCGGGCTTTCCTCCCACATAAAGCTGACACGCCGTGATATAACTGGAATACTGTTCAAAGCGGCGTAAAACCCAACTCACTCACTCACTCACGTTCAAAGATGATACTTGATCGGGCTGAAACAAGGACTGTCGGTGTGTCTGAGTGGGATATTCATGGTAAACTGCGGCATGGTATCTCAGTGAGTTAGCATTATAAATCGGCATCAGTACGGACGAGTACAAGCAGCCACACACACGGGCATACACGTCGCTATATAAGTGCAATAATCTTGGACGCGACGTTAAACCGCATTTCACCTCACCTCTAGTAGCAGTAGCAGATATATATTTTGTATTTACTTCAATTATTACATCATATATTGTGTATACGTGTATATAGTAAAGATGATTATTGTGCATTGTCTATTTCTATAATATTTATCGGACAAAGGAACCCACGAAACAATTAACCGAGGCAGTTTTCTTTTACAATTTAAACGCACTTATTTGTCGCGGAACGTAAAACCAGTACAAACACTTGTTCAATGGCCGGAAGTCCGGCCTCAGTGCAGAACAAATATCACTCCGCCAACCGGAAACTGTAGGATAGCATCTAATAGAAGTCTCTATCTCCGCGCCTCGTTCTACCGTAGTATCTCTTTTAAAATCTAACACCAACAGGGTTAAAAATGTATAGCTGTTAGAAGAGTTATTGCGTTATAAAAAATGGGCACTTTTTTCAGATACCGCTGTTTAGAGTTGGGCTATTATCGATCAGTAATTTGCGGCGGTATGCGTGACCTTCACAGGCGTTGACTTAAACATGATGTTGACTCAGAAAGGAGATAGTTATATCTACAGTGATAGCTCCTTATTTGGTATTTCCAGCTCATTTAAGAGTAGCGATTTAAGCAGATAAGAGAGCCATTTAATGTGCTGACAGCCGTTAATTTAACCCTTCTTTGACAAACTCTCTCGCCTTGCAGTCGCTCAATCTCGATATGCTGGCTTTTCTTCTCGCAGCGATAATGTTGGCGGTTTACAAGCAGGCTGATGCTTAAATGTTTCCGTTTTCCATTCTTCCGAGCGACTGCTGGCGATATTCACGAATGAAAGATAAAATCAGCGTCGTAATTGAGAAAAGGATTGCAAAGACACGATAATGTAAGCCTGCCGTTAAGACGCTAGTAATGAGACGAGAGACACACAGCGTAGACATGAGGTGCGCGTGCTATTCACGCGCTCCGCGAGTCCCACTTCCGGTTTTGAGACTTTCTTTAAACAGGGCATCTCAGCTGGGGCCGGCGTTTGTGTAGAAAACCTATCTCCAATCATTACATCCGGTTGCGCGAGATGTTTCCGTTCAATTTCACATCAGTCAGGTTGTCTCGAGATTATAGTTACTCTCATACCTATCCAAGCTTCTTGCAACGTCTTCAGTCAAGTGAGGAGTTTTTTACTCAAAAAACGACCTCCCTTCGAACCGAAATCCTATTCAGTTCTTGTTCCTTTCTTCGATATCATTACTTCCAATTAAATGAACCTAAAGTAATACGATTAATACATAAACGGGACAAGTATTGCTTTAATAATTGGTAATTTGACTATAAATTTACATTTGACTTGCTTGCCGAGTTATCTATCACTCAGTCGATGTCAGCTTGGCTATTGTGAGGCGAAGTAATGTCAAATTACTGGAGACTAACTGTCCATGTGTCTACCCCAGTGCAGCCGTGCCAGGAATCTCTTAGTCACCAGTTCTGCTGCAATTTCAACACTCCGATATTCAAAAACAGGATTTCTAAAGAAAACTCTGGTCACCAGTGTTACTTGTGGTCTGAATTTGATTGCATCTGTAAATCTGGCTGTATTTCAAGTCAATTCTATTTTATGCTTTTCTGATATATAAAGGTTTCCACAGTCGAATACCAGGCTACACTCAATGAAATCCCTATTTTCAAAACAAACTAAAAACATTAAACATAAAAAGTCCGAGATGTCTTTCCTTTTCACTGGTGTGTTCCGAATGCATAATTGATTGATTAAGTGTGGTTTTACGCCGCTTTTAGCAATATTCCAGCAATATCACGGCTGGGGACACCAGAAATGGGTTTCACACATTGTACCCATGTCGGGAATCGAACCCGGGTCTTCGGCGTGACGAGCGAATCCGAATGCATAAAAGATAGGAACAATTGATATACCATTTTTGGGGACAATGTTTCAAATCATTATAATTTGTTGTATTTTGGTTTACTTTAAGGGAATGTAAGACATTATTTGCATTTTGTGTAATAATGGAGACGGCTCGAATCTATGAATTGAGTGAGCTAGTGGGTTATTTTGGTTTTAACGGCTCTTTGAACAGTATTCAATATCACGGCGTGTCAGCATATTGTGGGAGGGCATCCCGAAGTAATGCAGGCCTCAGACGTTTACCACTTTGGTGAAATCCACGAACATAGGTAGGGTGCTGCCAAACATAATCGGGGCGAACCAGGATTCGAACCCATGATCATAGGTTCATAGCGTGCCCAAGGGACGCAACTCTGCACAGCGGATTGCGGCGCCTCAGGCAACTGGGCCACCCATGCCCCTCTAAGAATAGGTTTATTTGATGTAGCGTTCAAGTGTATTAGGAAATGAAACACATTCCCTGAAAGTCAGTCGCTATTGTCTATGTTGATATACCCTCTCTCTGGCCTCAAACCTGATATCGACGTTTTCCCTGTAACTTCCGTCTAACGGATCACAAACAGCGCATGTTTTATTTGATCAATGTCTTCAGTGAATAGATTGCGGACTGATCACATGATCAGCTTGTGACCAAGCGCGTAAATCACAAACAGCTTATGTTTTGACATGTTTCGTGGTTCTAGGAATTTGCAGTAACAAAACTACGGGATACATCAATAATGTATATATTTCGGAATTCGAACCCTGAAACCAAGGGACTTATATTTTGTACCACAAGGCCAACGTGTCGATCTTTACTCTTTTTCTGTGAGCGGGCGGTTCAAAAGTTGGATGTCTGATTAAAGAAATTCTTTACGTTTTGAGATGTATACCCCAAAACACTTTAAATGTAATAAAAGAAATCCTCAAAAAGATTTTCAGGTAGAAAAAGACTCAAGTCATGGAACAAGTGTATAAAGGTAAGATTTTTATTTGCCATTCAACTTTTGACCTGCTCCCTAAGTGTATTCATGGAATGTGGTTCAAATACATGAGATTGGATATTTCGCCTATGACATTTCAGCATAAGGCCGAACTGCGGAAATACTGCTACATCATGAGAAAGTCATGATAATCGTATAAATTATAAATCGTCGAACAGCTAATAAATCGTTATGACAGATTGGTAAGTATTGTAACATGTCAACTCACAAGGACCCAAAAAATCATTATTACACCGAGTCTTAGAAAAAACTCCTTTTTCACACCAAAAAACTAAAAATACAATTAAGATGACCGAAGAAAGTCTACCGTCTGGCTTAAATGGTAAAAGTAGTTTTTTCCTACGGTCCCCCGAGTCCGGTGCATTTGTCTGAAGCGGGACGTGGGATGCGGGCCGTGTGCAGATCGGCGTGCACGTGGTAATTGGCGGGAGATCACTGTCCGTTTCTTCATGCCTCTCTCAGCTTATCTCTTATTTCTCAATTTTCCTAGGATTAGTTAATGGTGAGAAGTCGTGCTTGACTGAGATACTTATCCGTAGAGAGGCCCAATCGTTCCGTAGATCGATCACTAAGCCATGGCTTTCTTTCAAATTTATTACCCTCAAGACGGCCGTCAAACAATCTGCTGTCCATTTTCGGGGGCATGATCAATTGGCTTTTTGAAAGAAAAAACTAGGAAAAGCATAGAAAAAGTTCCCCCTCCGGAGGATGGTAAGTATGTACCGACGTGCCATCAGAAGCTCGGCAATAATTACCCATCCAACAAACTAGAACAGTAGGGAGGCATTGATCAGCTATGTCTTACTTCAGATCTTAGTGGAGTCACAGCTGCCCATACGGGCATCAATGCATAAACATTGGGGCTCTATTAAGGATGCTCCCGGGCGAATTCGAAACACTGACTCCGTGATCCGAGTATCCACGAAGACATTCCGAAGAATCCGTTTGGACATATAATCTTGTCAACAGAGAAAGGCCTCGGACAAAAGAACTTGATGTTTGTTAATGAAAGCTCACCGTTGACGCCATTAAACGGAGTTGGCGAATCGAATACGCCCCGTGATGTTTAAAAGTCAGATCCATCAAGCAGCATGATTTGTAAATCATTTAATGACTGGGGAGATAATATGAAGGTGAATACTAGGCAGCCATTACAGAGATGTATGGGATGGGGAGTCTACTCGGCTCTAGCGGTCGGGGGGAGGGGGGGGGGGGGGGGGGGGGACTCCCAGTCATACTTTCCCAGGACATGGAAGACTTGAGAGAGAGAGAGAGAGAGAAAGAGAGAGAGCGAGAGAGAGAGAGAGAGAGAGAGAGAGAGAGAGAGAGAGAGAGAGAGAGACGGTGAGAGTTGGAGGAAGTGAGGGAGAGAGATAGGGAGGGAGGGTCGAAGAGAGGGAGGGAGAGTGAGACGGGGAGAGATTTAGGTGGGCGAGAAAGACGGGTTCAGGTGAGGGAGGAAAGCGATAGCTAGAAGGATTCGGGTGGGAGAAGAAAGCTTCGGTTACGCCAGCGGGTAGACGGTGGTGAGGGCAGACTGACGGTGCCTGGGATACAAGGATTCGGGTGGGAGAAGAAAGCTTCGGTTACGCCAGCGGGTAGACGGTGGTGAGGGCAGACTGACGGTGCCTGGGATACAAGGATTCGGGTGGGAGAAGAAAGCTTCGGTTACGCCAGCGGGTAGACGGTGGTGAGTGCAGACTGACGGTGCCTGGGATACAAGGATTCGGGTGGGAGAAGAAAGCTTCGGTTACGCCAGCGGGTAGACGGTGGTGAGTGCAGACTGACGGTGCCTGGGATACAAGGATTCGGGTGGGAGAAGAAAGCTTCGGTTACGCCAGCGGGTAGACGGTGGTGAGTGCAGACTGACGGTGCCTGGGATACAAGGATTCGGGTGGGAGAAGAAAGCTTCGGTTACGCCAGCGGGTAGACGGTGGTGAGTGCAGACTGACGGTGCCTGGGATAGAAGGAATCGGGTGGGAGAAGAAAGCTTCGGTTACGCCAGCGGGTAGACGGTGGTGAGGGCAGACTGACGGTGCCTGAGATAGAAGGATTCGGGTGGGAGAAGAAAGCTTCGGTTACGCCAGCGGGTAGGCGGTGGTGAGGGCAGACTGACGGTGCCTGAGATAGAAGGATTCGGGTGGGAGAAGAAAGCTTCGGTTACGCCAGCGGGTAGGCGGTGGTGAGGGCAGACTGACGGTGCCTGAGATAGAAGGATTTGGGTGGGAGAAGAAAGCTTCGGTTACGCCAGCGGGTAGGCGGTGGTGAGGGCAGACTGACGGTGAGAATGGTTTGGCATGGAGTAGAAAGCATCGATTGGGAGAAGAATGCGTCGGTTACGTCGACAGAAGTTGCCGGGGAGAGAAGGATTTGGGTGGGAGAAGAAAGCATCGGATGTGAGAGAGGTGACTTTGGTTGGGACAGAGGGAAGGTGTGGAGTTGGCGCAGAGATAAGATGTTGGTCTGGGAGAGAGAAAGTATTCCGTGTAGAGAGAGAGAAAAGGCATATAGCTGGGATTAAATACCTCGGCATTCGTCTAAAATAACATTCGATACATATATTCTCAAATCAAATCTTCAACGAGGATGAATGCATTCCAGCACTTACCAACCCAAGGCCATTCGTCCAAATTGAGATTACTCTCATCACAAAGTCCGGCATCGTTGGTTTCTCTAGGTGTACCTGAAAGTAGAACCACACGTGACAGTTGAACTTCCATCTGATTGGTCAAACCTTTAAGCAATAATCGGACAGCTGACAAAGTTTGATTGGCACATGGGCAAGGAATTATCTAATAAAAGCTCCCGCTTTCATAAATGATTTCTGCTCCGGGAAAGTGTGTCAAAACTAACAAACTAAATTACCAATCATCAGAGCGAGTTTCCCTAAGGCCTGGCGACGTTCTCGTCCTAAACAGCTTATCATGTTACAATAAGCTGGTAACCACATTCGCTTCTAACACATTAAAAATCCATATCTTATTTGATTACATGAACACAAGCAGATACAGAGGTCTTTCCTAACTAGACTGAACGCATGAGTTAACGATTAAACACGTTGATAACTATGCGATATTTAAACGCAAGATGGGGCAGTCAAAAGTTCATCGATTCTCTGTAGTAAATATGAGCATATCGAGAAAATATGATTGCTGTAAATTAAATCAGCATGGTTCTGCTATCTTGTCAAACGAACGGCTTCTGTGCAGACCGGGCGCCTATTGTTGAGCTCTGAAGGAGGCAACGAAATCGAGACGCATATGTTTCTAATGTAGTCGATTTCTCGTCTATCAATGTTGTTCTTTAATGCAATTGTCATTATAGGGATGTCATAGCGTTTTATACGGTTCAACAATAAGACCTTTCTGCATGTATGCTTTAGCGAAATTAAATGTTTGCATTAACAGTTTAATTCCGTTTTATGGATATGAAATTGGTAACATTGTTAAGGAATTATGCTTAGTCTTCTGTAACGCCGTCAATATCGTTTACCTAGTGTGCTAATTCGCAATCAACAACCGATAGATATTACACATGCCTATTACAGAGAACGTTTACCTTGTGTGATGATTGGCAGTCAACAACCGATATATATTACACATGCCTATTATAGAGAAGGTTTGCCTAGCGTGCTGATTCGCAATGAACAACCGATATATATTACACATGCCTATTATAGAGAACGTTTACCTTGTGTGATGATTCGCAGTCAACAACCGATATATATTACACATGCCTAATATAGAGAACTTTTACCTAGCATGCAAATTCGTAATCAACAACCGATATTTAATAACATCACACATGCCTATTGCAGAGAACTTTTACCTAGCATGCTAATTCGCAATCAACAACAGATATATAATTTTATCACATATGCCTATTGCGGAGGTTTACACTGCGTGCTAATTCGCAATCAACAAGTGATACATATGCCTATTACAGAGAACGTTTACTTATTGTGCTAATTCGCAATCAACAACCGATGTTTAAAACATCACACATGCCTATTACAGAGAACGTTTACACAGCGTGCTGATTCGCAGTCAACGGCTGTTAGATATCACACATGCCTATCACAGAGACGGTTTACATAGCGTGCTGATTCGCAATAGAACACTATCAGCTACGTGATAATACTGCTCAAAATGCATGTCTATCATTTGTATCTGGAATGTTTGTCGTAAGAGGCGACAAACGAGATCGGATGGTCAGACTCGCTGACTTGGTTGATGCATGTCATCGTATCCCAAATACGTAGATCGATGTTCTTAATGCCAATCATTGGATTTTCTGGTCCAGACTCGCTTATTTACAGCCCGCCGTCATATAGCGGGAATAGTGCTAAGTGCGGCGTTAAACAACAAACAAACAAACAAACAAATACTCATGTGTAGTAAATCGAATACACTATACACTGAGTGCGGCGTAAAACAACAAACAAACATTTATGTCTGGAACATTATTCAGAATTTCGCATTAACCGAACTAAAGCAAAACCTCGTTAACCCAGACATTAATCCGGACGGGATCCGTTCACAGTGACAAAGTCCGGATTGAAATTTTTTTTTAATTGAATTTATAGCCTGTTTAAATCACGTACAGTAAACTACGGTTATAACGAACACGCTTATAACGAACTGACCGATATAACGAACTTAATTTTTAGTCCGGGCTCATAACGAACTGCGGTTATAACGAACTAAAATTAGTGGTCCCTTTGAGTTCGTTATAGCCGTAGTTTACTGTATAGTTCCTAACAGAAGTCGTTCAGAAAGCGAGATTTCCAGACTACCAGGGTTTTCCTCTGTAGCATCCTTTTAGACAATAAACAACCGATAACGTACACGTATGAACCGTTTTTTTCAGGATTGTACTTGGTATTTGTATTTTTTTACATTATAATCGCATGTATAGGTCACTTTAACACTTTTTAGTTTTGAATAACATCTTCATAAAGGAAAGGGAGTCAGGATCGCCGACTTGGTTGATGCATATCATCGTATCCCATTTGCGGAGATCGATGCTCATGGTGTCAATCACTGGAATGTCTGGTACAAATTCGATTTATTTGCAGACTGCTGTCATATAGATGGAACAAACAAAATAAATAGATGATAAATCTAGCCGGCTATCGTTTCAATAATGTTGTGCCTGTGTGTAACCCCTTTAACGAAATACAGAACATTACCACATGTCAAGATATTGATCGTGTTTATGAAATGTGCGTCACTAGTGCTATACCATGTCTTCCAAAGAGCGCACACAAACGGACAATAGGTAGGTAGGTAAACAATGCATACCTACCTATTGTTCTCTGTGCTAATCAGAACAATCAAGACAGGTAGATCAATATTCAAGACCTGCCGTGAGTTACTGACATGTTGAGGTGATGAAGTGCGCCCACCGTGCCAACCGTATCGCAGCTGATGAGGTTACACTATCGTACATGTATATGAAAGCGTCGGTACACAGGAACGGCTGAAGTTCTTTTAACGTAAAGGGGGCGGTGGAGTAGCCTAGTGGTTAACGTGTTCGCCCATCACGCCGAAGGACAGGGTTCGATTCCCCACATGGGTACAATGTGTAAAGCCAACTTCTGGTCACTCCCCTACCCCCTCGTGATATGGTTAGAATATTACTAAAAGTGGCGTAAAACCCAATTCACTCACACATTCAATATTTAACGTAGAGCCCTGATGTCTCGTTCTCAGCATGTCGTAGACAGACAATTTTGTCAATATATCGAGCTATCCGTAGCTCGAGACAAGCGAAATACCCATGTTAGACAACGCCGATAAGGGTACTGCCTTTATGGTACATAATGGTACTTAAGCGAGTTAAAGGAAACCAATTTTACATGGTAATACCTTTTTTTGTCAATTTGAAATAAATTAAGTATCGATATCCACAGTAAGATCAAACATGATACGCAGCATAATCATATATATTACCAAAATGGCGTCATTAATCATTCCATTTTAATTCTTGAATTTTTGTTTGGTAAAAATAAAATACATACTCTATTTGTGTTTGTAATATGCACTCAGCGATAAATGATGGCGTATCAAGGTTACCCAGTACACGCGGTGCCTGAACATATGCACCTATCTATTATACATTGATTTACACAGTGTATAGTACCAGTGCCACCCCGTAGTTCACAAAGGGAAGTACAATCGTCATACACAGCGTATCATATGCATAATTGCGCCACGAGTGCTGGGGAAGGGCTGTTAAGTCGCGCTTTTAGTCATCTAATGGATTAACTGTACACATCTCAACAGACTCTTCTCTTTTGACGTAAACAATAATGTCGTCGAGAGATATGCACGCAATAAGGTTATAACTGTACTTATGGAGGGAGAGAGAGAGATAAAAAGAGAGAGGAGGGAGAGTTGGACAGGGAAGGAGGGAGGGAGAAAGGGAGGGAGGGAGAGAAAGAGGGCAGAGAGGGAGAGGGAGGGAGAGGGGAGAGAAAGGGGGGGAGAGGGGAGAGAGAGGGAGAGGGAGAGAGAGGGGGAGGGGGGAGTGGGGAGAGAGAGGGAGAGGGAGAGAGAGGGGAGGGAGGGAGAGAAAGGGAGGGGGAAGAGAGAGAGGGGGAAAGGGAGGGAGGAAGACTGAAGGATTCTGTGAGAGGAGTACATTTTAGGGTAGAGAGAAAGCGTCCAATAGAGAAGGATTCGGGCGGGAGAGAAAGATGGGTTCAGGTGGGAGAAGACAGCGTTGTGTCAGAGATAGATGCGTCGGGTGGGATTTTCTCCATCTCCGCACGTGCCTGTTTTTGGCTTATAACAACACGTATTTTGTACGCGAGGCTTAAATTGTCTCAATGAAGCTGGTTTTCAGGAATCTTTGTTTTAATATTTGAATACGAGCAAGTATTTGACCCACGCTCATTAGCTTAGGGCATGTAGATATACACAGTACACACTGATGGTAATGATACCGTCTGTTATGCAGTGATGACACCGTCTGTTTTGCTGTAATGACACCGTCTGTTATGCTGTGATGACACCGGCTGTTATGAAGTGATGACACCGGCTGTTCTGAAGTGATGACACCGTCTATTATACGGTGATGACACCATCTGTTATGATGTGATGACAACGTATGTTATGCGGTCATGACACCGGCTGTTCTGAAGTGACCGCACCGTCTGTTATGCAGTGATGACACCGTCTGTTATGATGTGATGACACCGTCTATTATACGGTGATGACACCATCTGTTATGATGTGATGACAACGTATGTTATGCGGTCATGACACCGGCTGTTCTGAAGTGACCGCACCGTCTGTTATGCAGTGATGACACCGTCTGTTATGATGTGATGACACCGTCTGTTATGCAGTGATGACACCGTCTGTTATGCAGTGATGACACCGTCTGTATGCAGTGATGACACCGTCTGTTATGATGTGATGACACCGTCTGTTATGAAGTGATGACACCGTCTGTTATGCGGTGATGACACCGTCTGTTCTGAAGCGACGACACCGTCTGTTATGATGTGATGACACCGTTTGTTATGCAGTGATGACACCGTCTGTTCTGAAGTGGTGACACCGTCTGTTATGCAGTGATGACACCGCCTGTTATGCGGTGATGACACCGTCTGTTCTGAAGCGACGACACCGTCTGTTATGATGTGCTGACACCGTTTGTTATGCAGTGATGACA